CCTGGAAGATATGTCTGAAATATAGAAAGGCAGTCCCAACATTGTTTAACAGCAGAAAGGTAGTATTTCATCCTGTCTTGAGCAAACAACCAGAACCATCCAAGTAGATTCCTGCGGATGTACATGAGGCACTAGCAACGAACCTGGGGCCTGGACACAGCCGCTGCAGAAGCTCTCTTCCTGTGCTCAACAAGCAGCATCTGCTGCTCCTGAAGCTCGTTCTGCAGCTTGTCCCTCTCGCACTCCAGGCTGCGTATCTTGTCCCATTTCTCGGTGCTTGCCCTTGCCTAATAAGAACCAGACCAGATTAAGAAGCAAAGCATGGCAACAGCACACATGGGCTGCCTGATGGGTCTCTTCAGCAATACATCACCAGGCTTGTTGCTCGCCACAAACATCAAAATGTTCCAGCTTCAGTACAATGCAGAGATCCCTTCTGGGGCCACCTTGCCTGTTGCGGCCCCGTCGGCAGCCGCTGGTTTCCGGAGTCGTGGGGGTCGCCCTGCCCTGCGGCTCGGCTGTTGGAGGTCAGCCGGCGCTCTCCACCTCGGATGGTGGGCGTATCCGGGGCAGTCGTTTCCTTGGTCGCGCGGTGGGCCCAATGCTCGACGGGGATCGATCCCCGGGGCCTGCTGTCGGCGAGTGGTGGCGGCGCAGCAAGGCGGTGGTTCGCTGGCTCGCGGGCGGCCAGAGAGTGGGCCAAAAGTGTTACAACGATTCACTGCATGCGCACGCACATATCGCATACACGATACCCGATCGCGGGTCCATCGTGGTCACATCATGACAAGACAAGACAAGTGCGCGTCCAGGCACATCGTCACCATCCACCGTTCACCTACGATCGACCCATTGTCCTCTAATTCCAAGCGTCTAACACCCGACCCCCTTGCCCTAAGTACTACGATTTCAGGAGGCTATATCTTCGTCAATTCTTAACGGATTTGGGCGTTTAAAAGCGCGTTGGAACCAGGAAGCTCTAAACTACACTCCCAAAAGTCGATTTGGCCAATTACGTAATTCCCACACCAGAAAACCTCAATAACTGCCTGACCCCAAGTAGCCACGTCACATTGCCCCCTCACCCCAAACCTGCCCCCGGCCACACACCCTCAGCACAGAACACGAACATCTATCTGCGCATATTCTCCTTTTTTGTGCACCATGGAGCAAACGGATTCCAGTTCTTTCACCCTGTCGTTGCTGACCACCAATCTGGCCCTGAGCACCCTGTTCTCTGCTTCCAGCTCTTCACAGCGGCTTGCTCGAGACTTGGCCTGTGCTGCCTGGCACATCACACTGTTGCATTAAAACTGCACCAAACTGGACCTATTGGAGACCCAGTCCGCTTCTGGTAAATCATGATTCCTGCAGCTATGGCCGTGCCAAGCAACACAGGGCCCCCGGATCTGTACAGAAACTCACGCAGACTTTTTACCCCCACAATGCAAAAAAATGCCTCTATGTACAGCACAACATATCGTTGTTCTGCACCAAAGGATGGCAACAAACTACAGACGACTTCAACAGTGATAACAACAATAATGAACGTGTGCTGGTGGTGCCTACAATCCTCAGCGCAAGGAATTCTCAGGGATGCGAAGGTGAAGATGTCCACAGAAAAACTCTTCCTGCTTCAAGTCCACAACACATGCACAAGCTGGTCGGGATAAGAGAGTGAAGGAATGCCATCAAAGCAGCAAATCCTCACTATCCTGTGGGCATCTGCATGTGCAGCCCAATGTCTTATCTGGGTACTGGGGTGAGACAGAGGTATATCAAGGCGATATGCCATAATGATAGCACTGGCCAGCACCATTCCAGAACTCCGTATCTGTTCACTGCACTTTTGAGTTTTACGTCCCTACTAAACACAACAGAGACAAGAAGGGAGTTCGATAAAGGTCTGGATGCAACGGCCCAGAGTTGCAAAAGCGCCGCGCTGGAGCCATCGCCCGGCTTCTGGCCCTGCGTTGCCTTGGTCACCTGCGCCGAGAGCTTGCGGTCGCCTTGCCCCTTGGGTCTGGAGTCCCCCGACCTCGCTGAGCCCGTGGATTTCAGGTCGCCCATAGAAAAGCCCTTCGACACACGCGGGCCTGGGTGCGGCGCCCAGCGTGGGCCCTGCCCCGACTCCACAGTTGGTCTCTGACAGGCTGCCCATCGACCACATAAGGCATGACCCCCCGCAGTCGCCGGTGGACAGCGTCTGGCTGTCGTAGGCGCTGTGCGTCTGCGCCTTGAACACGGATACCGGTGTGGCTCTCGAACACCGACGCCAGGGGGGCTCTCCCTGGTGACCTCACTGCGGGAGATCTCACATGACAGCACCTCCACATCGGGGTGTAGGTCCACGCCGCCGCGCGGCCCAGCTCGATGGGATATTTGAAAGAGAACCATGCGTGTGGTTGCTAGCGGAGCGGGGTCCGCGTAGAAGGTGTCAGGCCCAGGGTATACATGTTGAATGCGTCCGCCGACACCTCCTGCATCATCACACCCGCCACTCCGCCCTTAGGACATTCCAGCAGCCAATCCCGGCGGCTTGCATCCCGGCGATCGCCCGACCCTGCTAAGACACCCAGTCGCCCCTTGCCTGTCACACAATCCGCCCCAGCCCTCTCGCAATTGCTGAAACCTACCTTCGCCCTCTATGACGCGGATCCCTTAACAGCACTCCGCCCTCAGGGCATTCCAGCAGCCAATCCCGGCGGCTTGCGTCCCAGCGATCGCCCGACCCTGCTACGACACCCAGTCGCCCCTTGCCCTTCACACAATCCGCCCCAGCCCTCTCGCAATTGATGAAACCTACCTTCGCCCTCTATGACGCGGATCCCTTAACAACAGCGCCGCGTCCCGCCAGGCAGCAGCAAAGTCGCCACTGCAGACCATGCCGCTCTCCTTGCGCGCCCCCATCTCCGATTTGGAGCGAAGGGCAGCCGGGGAGCCTGGTTTGGGTGGCGGCACGCGTCGGGGTGCCGATGGCGGCCGACGGGTGCCGGGGGTGCCGATGCATGCCGATGCATGCCGATGCATGCCGATGCATGCCGATGCATGAAATAAGGGACGGTGAATGCGCAGGCAGGCACGGCTGCACAAGGGACATGGCGAATGAGAGCCCACAAATGCCCACGCGGGATCCCGGCTGCGTGGGCGGCGTGGGGGGAGCCCGATGAGCCCCGACATGGGCGCACGTCGGGCGTTGGACACGCCGGCAGCGGCGGGGCGTGTGGGAGGCACGCGACGGGTAGCCACGCCGACCGACGTGGCAATCCCGATGCGCAGGCCATAGGCCGACACGGCGGGCGGCCGCCGAGGCGGGCCACGTCGGTCCCCGTCCAGGGGCCGGCGCCTGCCCATGGCATTTGCGAATGCCGACGCCAGCCGACGTCATGGGGCGGATGCCCACGCAACTCAACGCGGCCGACGTGGGCAGTCCGACGATTCTGTAACACGAGTGAGGGTGACCCCAGCGCCTCCGGAAAGCAGTGGTAGCTGACGGGCTACAACAGGTGGCCACCGCCTGGATCACATGATAATGCAACATTCGGGCCCAATGATAGTATCTCATCCCCCGATACAATATGGCAAGGGAGACTAAAGTACTAGTAATATATGTAACGATACGTCCTCTACCGCTAACCCAATGGAGACGGTTCGAAAACCTATGAGCTCCAACGAAGCCTACCATCACATGAGACTGCATTATTATGATGTTCATTGTAATGTTCATTATCATAATGTTCATCGTAATGTTCATTGTACTTTAACCTCCCAAGAACCCAATTATTAGAGAAATGTACTAACCCCTGTGTTTAACACCACAATGGCTTCTCTTGGTTTGGTTACAAGATACGTTAAGTCATGGTTGCATATTGGACCAAGTGCATCGAGCACGTTTGAGCACCTCACACACCAAGGTTACCACAAAAGTTGAACCGAAATGTTTGATTTATACTATGTTATTGCCAATCGCTGTGCGCATTCGATTGGATTGTCATCTCAAACAAGGTTGGGTGGGAGACTTTGTCAGAACTTTGAGAGGCCAAAACTGCCTCAATTCTCACCGGTCTGTGATATTTACAAATGCTAGGGATTTATAAAAAGTGCAATAAATGGTCCACTCATAACACCCAACTAAATTAGAGATAAACTGATCAATAACATGTCACCCTCAATAACTTCACAAAATCAATTCAATAACTGCAATTTAATTTGGGACCGAGGGAAAGCGATTTCTTTTCACTTGGCGTGATATGTGCATTCATCAATAATTCTGTCCACTAACCGACTTTTCAAAAAAATTCAAGAAACCACCAATTATTTGAAAAAATCTAAAAAACAATTACCAGAAAACCAAGTGAAAGAGACTAACTGTTGGCCCCGAGACTCAACACCGATTCCTTGCCCAAAGGCGATCGCTGCCCTGGGGCACACCCTCCAAACGACAGCCCAGATTCCGGCCAACTTTTTCTGCTCCTGTCCAATGCCCTCGGGACAAAAACAACCTGTGACAAACCCCGCCCTCCACGTGTCCACGCCCCCTGCTCGGGTCACACTCCACCAGACTTCCCAGGGCCCAACCCCGCCCAGTTGCCCCCGCCCGATCACCGAATCCCATTCGTGGGATCAGAATCTCGAGCGCCGGGCCGCGGGGGCCCCGCGGCCCCTTTTCCTGGCCCCCCACGCGGCCCGCAAACCCCAACCCGCCCCCACCGCCGGTCTCGCCGACCCAGTTGACAGCGGGCTGACCAACGTCCGAGCTTTCAACCGTACGGGGGCCAGCTAACCCCCACATCCCGGTTCACGGCGCGCAGCTTCCTTCCAGCTCTTCTGACAAGCCGCAGAAAATGCCCTGGCCCCCACCGACCTGTCGCAGTCGTCCCCGGCCCCCCCGCCAAAGCCCCCGAGCACCCAGGGCGCAGGGGTACCCTGTCTCCGGAGTGGCGGCGCGCAAGGTGCGGCCTGAAGCACACAAGGGCGGTCGACGCGCCGGTGCAGGAGGGATGGATGCGCCCGGCAGCAGCGGGGAGGCACACGAGGGGATGAGACGGAGGAACGGCGTGGCGGTGGGCCCCGGCGGGCGGTACCAGCTGGTGGGTGGGCCCGCCTTTCCCGCCGATCTCGCCTGGCCTTTGCTTCGGATGGTGTGCCTTTGGGATCCATCAGGCCTCCGTGTGTGGAAGGTGGTGGGGCTTCCGCCTGGTGGTTGTGTTGGTGCCGTGCTGGCTGGGTGGGGTGGGGTTGGGGGGTGGGGGGATGGGACCACAGAGGTTGCCGTTGAGGGGCATTGTTGGGTTCTGGGATGGCCGACGGGGTGCCGCGTGCCGGCTGGGCCCAGCCCGCGTGAGCCCCCCGCACCCGCGGTGGGCCCCTCCGGAAGCGCGGGCCGAAAAATGAACGGCCGGGCGCTCACCATTTTTCTTTTTGTCGTTTTCTTCTCTGCGGTTTCGGGGTCGGCGACCATGCGCGTGAGGGCTGGCGGCTTGCGAGCCTCTGGGAATTGAGGGCACGGGACGACCCTCGGGCCAGCCCGGATACCCATGGCGAGGGCGCCCCGACCGTCACTTCTCCGACAATCCTCCCCGCGCTGACTCGCCACGTGCCGGGACAGCCCGCGCCCACCCCGCCCGGGACAGTGCCTCCCGCGTCGATCGGCAATCGCCCGCTGCGAGATGCGATCCACTCCACAGGCTTGAGCGTGCGGGTCCGCTCCGCGGTCAGTGCGGCGATGGACGGCGTCCGGCTCCGGGTTGCGCACCGCCTGGGCCGGACGTGGATCCGCTGCCCCCGGTCACGTGCTCCCACGACGTCGCGCCAAGCTCTGGGGGCGTCGGCCAACTCCATGCCCCCCCCCGCCCCCCCACACACACAGGGCCCCCGGTGCGCAACCATTTCGACGAAAAATTGTCCCCCACTGCCGACACCGCCCACCGAAAATTTGGGGATTTCGAACCTCTCGGCCGCGCGTTTCGCGGTGCCGGCGTAGTCCGAGCGCTGGCAGCCATCGCCGTCGATCGCGGAACGCTTCAGTCCGCGCGCCGCGCGATCTTCCCGCTCCTCCCACACTGCTGGAGGTCCGCCGGGCGACATCTTCCACCTACGTCCACCGGCATCGACAAGGCACCCGCGCCCTGTCGCCGACTCGGCGGCCGGCCGCCGCCTTCACGGAGCCCGAAATTTCCCCATCTGGCATCCACACGTAGAATTCTTCCCACACGTTGTTGTTGGCCGTAGCCGCCGCGGCTCTCCTTGCCCTCTGCCGCGATCCAGGCACCGCAGCGCGATCGGTTTGTAAACGCCGGAGCGTCCAACTTGTGGAAAAGCCAAAACGCAAAATCTCTGGCCGGTGCTGAGACCTTGTTGGCGCCCGTACGCAGGGAAGAAACCTCAATGAGGGCCACTTTGGGAAGGTCATGCTGGCGTATGACAACGAGAAGAACCAGTACGTGGCGATCAAGTTCATACCGCGGGGACCTCAGGTGGGGCTGGAAACCGCATCCAAAGGGCCTGGCGAAGCAACGCGACGACTTTGTGAGTTTGTGGTAGTGAGCGGGCGGACGTGGTGTGGATCATCGTGCCAGGGGCACAGCCCACGGCGCGAGGGCACCGGTTTGGGTTTCGAAGGCAGATTTGAACAAAGGGGTTTGGCACAGGGAGCGCGCCTCGCTGATGGAGCGTTTCTGGAGCAGTTCTGGAGCGTTTCGCGGTATTTGGAGCATTTTTGGCCCGCGGGATGGCGGGGCGATTCTTCGGGACTCTGTGCAGTCCAGTTTGGCATTTTTGCCCCGGTTTTCCTCGCCGGTTTTGCGCTAGGGGCTACTCGCAAGGTGTCGGGGAGAAAGGGGGTGGGGTGGGACTGGGGCTGGGGCTGGGGCTGGGCGCTTGTGGAAGGAATTAGAAGTGGATGGAGAACAATGGCTGCTTCAGGTATGGCTGCAAGGCACGTGAACCAACGGAGCGCTTTGGAACATTTACAGGATCCGGCGGTGAGTTTGGACGGGTGACCACCTAGAAGGCTTCAGGTGGAGTGCCGTGTGGGATGGAAAGGTTGCGACCTAGGGAGATTGTGCGTTGTCTTTGCCCTATGACAGGTGGACATATAAAATGGGCAAGTCTTGGGATTAACCCTGGTCGGGGCGGTAATTCCTCCCTACTGTTTGTGTGTTGTTGGCTGAACTATGCACTTGTAGCTTATTGTCCTGGCTTTGGAGCACCAGAATGGGGTGATGCGGCCTCGATCGGACAAGGAGTTAATTGAGCCCATATTGTGTGGCGTGCTGTTTGGCGTTCAGACTACTGAACTAATTTTCTGCGGTTTCAGGTAACACAGAATACTTGTGCCGGGGAGAGCCTTTGTGTGGCTGCTTCTCTTTGCTGTTGAAACGAATCTTTGCTGACACTCCCTGTGCCACTGTGTGTCCAGGTGACACAGTATGTCGAGCGTGAGATTCTGAACCACCGGACTCTGTGTCAGACGCACATCATAGCATTCAAAGAGGTGAGTGGCGGGTGGTGGTCCAGGATTCACGTACGGCCTGGTGGCTGCCCTTGGCTTAGAGACTCCCCTGAAAGGTTTTCAGCCACTACATGAACATCATTTGTTTGACATAAAGGATGGACTGTCAAAGAACGGTGGAAGAGATTACTGTCAGAGTTGGGGACACGGGGTTAGACCACTGGCTGCGGGGTTCTCGACTTCTCTGGACCATGTTGTCGACCGCTGTCTGCTTCTGTGGGCCATAGGCCATGGCTGGTGGTTTGGTCACTCTGCAGACCTCTTCATTGAGAGTCTTTGCTGTTGCTGCTGTGATGTTAAAGCAGTGGGTTTTGTGTGGCCAGGTCTTCGTGACAGATCTCCACCTGTGCATCGTCATGGAGTATGCAGCGGGCGGTGATATGCATCAGTACATCTTGAGACACAAGTGCCTGCCTGAGCAGTGTGCAAGGTGGGCTTGTTGCGTTGACTCGTTTTGACTGCAAACCAAGCTGTTCAGTGCACTAGCCTACGAGGCTAGTGCAGGATCTATCACAGGCTTCAAATCAACCTGATCTTGTTGGTCCACATCCATCAGGATGGCAAGTTTACGGAACTGGTTGGCAGTCCCTGTCGTTGTGGCAATTGAGTGAACGTACCCATTTAAGCGCTGCAAAAACTTTATACACTGGTCAGCGAACATGGATCCTCAAAGTTTAGATCATAAAATGCAGGGACCTCAGAATACTCAGGCAAAGGGAACACCCGAACCTAAGATGCAGGTATTCATTGCAGCAACGAGCAAAACAACACACTGTGCTTCAAGATGTTTGCACCCACATCTGGTGCACATATCCAGTTTTGCCAGGAAGGGCAAAGAATACCCAAACATCTGAGGTGTATGGGGTTCCACCTCCAGTGCAGAGGTTCACCATTTGCTCCCCTTATGAGCTGCCAGCTTTGGTTCTCTTGTATCCGTTCGTTCTTTGGGCCTCATGACTGGAAACAGGGGCAAATACAGGTGTCCATGGGACAAACCCAAGTGTCAACATGTGGCCATCATTTTCTCATGAGCGAAATACTCCACAGTGAACCCACAGCACACCAGTTTCCTTTGACCAATGTTCCTGTGTTGCTATGTTTTGAATTCCAGCTCTTCACTTCAGACTGTTGTGTCACATTTTAGAACTCCTCTTCACAGAGGAAATGCTGTGTGTTGCAACAGGTGGTTCTTTCAGCAGCTGATGATCGCAATCGAGTATTGCCACTTGCGGGTATGCGGACAGCATTGAGTCTGTCAGATGTCCATGGTTCAGTCCTTTGATAGCGTATGCCAGAGAGTGACAACGTTCCATCCACAGTGTTGGTTGCAAAGTTTGTTCCCTGGGTTGCCTGCGCCCTGAACCCCAACCAGTATTATTGAGACTGTATGGTTCCAGCGAAGTGCTTGCATTGTTACCATAAGGTCCCCTGTATGCTGATCTTATGCTGATCAGACCATTGTGTCGTATTGTGTCGTATTGTGTACACATGCTGTTTACAACTGCCAACTCTGACAGCATTGAGCGCAAAATGCTTAGCAATTCACCTAGTTCAATGCTGCAGTGACACCCATTTCCACTTGTTGATCGTGTATGGCAACTCCTGCAGTGATCACAAGTCACTGTGTTCTTGGGTCCACGAACTTACTTGTTTTTTAGCGGGTTACTGTTCTGATGGAAGTCTGTTGAATGGGACAGCATGTTGTGAATCGAGACATCAAACTAGAGAACATACTCTTGGATCGTGAGGAGAGGCTGCTGAAGGTGTGCGACTTTGGCTTCAGCAAGGTGAGTTCTTTCTTGCTGATTCCAAGTGATGCATCGCAGTTGACTTTAGAAGCTGTGCCTATCCTCGCAGGAAAGAAGGGGGCATTTTGTCCTAAACCATTTAGTACATTTAAGAGTTCGAGTGTCACTTCCAGCTGACAAAAGATACATGGGCCTTGCGCCAACTGGAAAGAGCCTGAAAAAAGGGTTTGGTTGGTGTTGGTCTTCTTCTTGTTTGCTTCCTATTGCGTCAAAAAGTTATGTTTATTGTTCATTGCTTTACATGGAGTGTGAACGCCAGAAATGCCAGTAGGTTGTGACACACTGAAGTGTCCCGCAACACATGGCAGTTCCCAATGTGTCCATGCACCATGCACCCCATCCCTGAACGAGACGAGTGCCCTCCTGAACAGCTGAGTGCCTGTGCTTCTGCTTGTCAACAGCAGCACAGAGCCCAGCACATTTGTGGATATGTCCAGCCACTCACTGCAGACTGAACTGTGTTTTGCACATTGTGCCTGGCAAGAATGGAATACGGACAAATGGCGACTGCAATGGAGAGCAGAAAACGTGTTCCCAAGAAGATGAAGGATTGAATATCCCTAACTGCGATGTGACAGAATGACAGACAATGACACAGTGTGCTTGCCACATGGTTTTGCTGGTTACAAATCTTCAAGCAGCATCACTGTTTCTCGCTGTTGATGAGGACCTCATGATGCTTGCCAAAATGAACACCCAGCCCCCGAGTCCTAGGTGTAACAAGAACCAGTGGATGAAAAATGGAGCAGAACGCCACACTGAAGTGACCCACTAAACTCGGTACTGAGCTGTACATACTGAACTCAGCACTGGCATCATCCTGCAGGGGAGCAACGATTCCGAGCCCAACACGTGCGTTGGCACACCCAGCTACCTAGCCCCAGAGGTTTTGAGAAATCCTCTCAATCAGAAGTGCTACAATGGCAAGCGTGTGGACATATGGACGTGTGGGGTGTGCTTGTTCGTGATGCTCTATGGCTACTACCCCTTTGACGACCCTTATGACAACTCGCCCAACAAGACAAAGAAGATGCTGGCGGTGGGTGGCTGCCCAACGACCTGAGACACACCTCTGTGCCAAGTGCTGCAATGTACTGCATTAAACCCTGGGCTGCATTGTGCCACACTGACAACTGTACTGTGACTGCAATGCAGTGCTGTAATGTACTGCAAGAGTGAATCCTGTGGACAGGCGCAGATATCATTGCCTTAAGGGTGGAAGGGCTGTGTTCCGTCATGCTTTTGGCAAATGGTCTCAATGGAATGAGTCATCTCAATCAGCTCCTCATCTGTTCACTGGGAGCAGTTAAATTTGTAAGAGGTTGGGTCCTTCTGTTGTGGATGCGTAAATTCATCTATCCACGTGGTTGGTACCTCAATTAATTACTCCTTTCACCATTCTCATCAACTCCTTTCATCATTTCATAATGCCGCCTTCATCATTTTCGTCGTTCTTTTGTGTGCTCAGAGCATGGCCAGTGGCGTTGTTGCCATCCCTGAATGGCAACAAGATAATGGATCCATCCGCTAAGTGGCTCATTCACTACTTCATACATCTTTTTTCAGTATGTCACTTCATCACGTCCATCATTTTCATCACTCTTGCGTGTGCGCACAGAGAATAGCACGAGGCGTCGTTGCCATCCCTGAGCAGCAGTACAGGCCGATGGGCGACCACCGCCAGCCAGTGCCCATCTCCGAGGACTGCCGTGACCTGCTTGCAGGCATCCTGGAGTCCAACCCATCCCGGCGGATGACGATGGATCAAATAATGCGGCACCCGTGGTTTCAGAGGGACCTGCCGGAAGGCGCCCTTAAGTACAACGAGGGCGTGGAGCAGATCGATGAGGACCTCATTGCAAGGATAAGGGGCCTGCAAGTGAGTCCGGCGTCTTGGAGACTAATGTGGCAAATGGGAACATGTCGTGCCATGGGTATCCCAGTTGTGAATTCTTTGCTTTCTTTCTTGTATACTTGCCTATCATTTTCTTATTCATTTATTTCCTGCTTATCTGTCACGCTACAGATCATGATGCCTAGTACAGCTTGTGTGCTACAGGTTGTATGAATCTCCAAAATGAGAGCACTGAAGCTTTCTCTTAAGCTCAATTTGGTCCTGAGTTCAACAGGATTTATGGTATTTGTCCCATAACTTTTATTACACCTTACTGGCCTGTTTCATTTCATCTTGTTTTTGTGTTCAGTTCTGTATTTTACTTCCATTGATTTGTGGTTACTATTCTGGTATTATTTTGGTATACTAGAAAGAACAATACTAATAGCACTGCTCTCACATGATGTGGGAGCCCAGAATGGCACAAGCAGCAACGATCCACACCGACGCATCGCTTAATCGCAACTTCAGATGCAGTACCAAACTGTGCATAAAAGACGGCAACTGGTGCCTTGCGCAGAGTGTGGAGGAGGTCAAGGCGATCGTCAACTACGCCAGGGCTGGCGGCGAGGCACGGTAGCTGAGCACAATGCAGGATGGCTCGCTGTTCCCTGTTTCGATTCATCCCCCTCTCATCTTATAACCCAAAGGGAAGAGCTCGAGGGACGGAGCACTCGCTTCCGTTGCAAGCAGAAGCGGAGCGGGCGCATTCACGGGGCAAAGGATGGTGCGAACATTTTGGAACGGGTTGTGGCCGGCCATATAGTCGCCAAATGGAGTCCTGTCGGAATGGCGCAGGAGTGGCGATTTGTCATCATTTGATTCACTCGATGTGAACGATTGGCGTTATGGCTGGCAAGGGATTGGTGTTGAACTGGGGTGGCCGAAGGCCATCTCGTGGGAGTTAATTTGCAGGGCCTTGGGGACCAGCCGGTATTACTAATCACCCATGGCTGACGCCCACCCGTTTGTTCACCCTGTAGCGTTTGTGTGCCACTCCATCCACCAACGCCCCTTTTGGCGGTGTTGCTTCATCACAGTACTTGCGGGCACTAATTTATCAGTGAGGACGACAATAGTGTGGCACAGTAGTTTAGTGGGCGCCTATGTGCTGCCGGTCGGGGCCAAGCGGTGGCAGCGCTGGGGACCTTTTTTTCAGCGTGCTGTTTGTTGGCATGCTTTGTGTGGCGGGTGCCGTGGGAGTGCCCAGTGAACACCACAGTTTTTATTTGTTTCTCTCCCCCTTGTTTATTCTCGTGCATCTTGCAACAGCAGTTGTGTGGCGGTTTGGGGTGGCGTACGACACAGAGTGCGACGTGTAATGGCGGCACCTTCAGACTTGGGCATGGTACCGGTATTTTAACGCGGTCCAACTTTGGTGAAACGTTTGACCACGAACCCCCATTCTTCTTTGGGAAATACGGTACAAGGATGAGCACTTTATGCGGCTTTGTTGAGCGGCATCTTGTGAAAGGGTGCGGGGCCCGCAGCTGAGGTCATTGTCGCCAAAAGTTTCTACCTGTTTGTTGAACGAAATTCGCGTCAGCAAACACATCACATGTCATTGTACTGCCGGATCGTGCAAAGCCAGGTTCTTGAAGGAAAAGCCGTTGATGCGATTCAAACGGCTCCCTTTGGAGTGCACACGGGAAGCGCGAATCCACGATCGCCGATGCTTCAACGGCCTTGGCACACGGCCAGACGCAAGGCCACACCACACACAAAACGCCCAGGGCTTACATATTTGTTCACCCTTCCCACAACGAAGAGCCTTGCCGACGGCGGCAACGACCCCCGCAACCGAACAGTTCGAATTTTTTTGCACCCACAGAACTTTCCTTTTCATGTGACAAGGACCATCATCCATCACCAACCAGCCATACGACATTTCAAAGATACCCACTCATCACCACAATGCAACCCACTCTATAACACATATACCAAAGGTGCCCATACACTCAATGGCAATGTAGAAATATTTCAGCTGCGAGCGCGACCTCAACATAACACTTGTCTCTAAATCGGATGGCATCTCCCACAGCAACCAAGTTGATGCTCACAAAAGTCCCATCACATGAGAAACAATTCTGTGAATTCTGAAACACATTTTTCTTTTCCTTTTCTACATTCAGAATGCCTTGCATAGAAACCATATTCTTGACGTGCATACAAGTCGCACACCATAATGCATAAGTGATCCACCCAGTGAAACGGTGGTCATTATGCGGTGTTGCGAACATGGGCTCTCCCACGTTTCCATCTGCGAGACACTCCGAATTTTGGTGGGCCCATAGTCTCCTCTAACAAGAAGACCCCAATAAATAGCCAACATCAACCATTTGCCATAATCAGCTCACCACCTAAAATCCCATGGCACACCACAACATGATCACGAAACATCTCTTGTTACCACTCCCGCTGCTATCACCCAAGACCTCCCCCATTAACGCCGAATCGACAGTAGGCCCATACCCACTGCCGCACGCAATGGACTTGGTAGACTTTCTCTCCAATGAGCTAGCACCCTATTTCTGAATGAGCATAACACCAAAGGATAGGCTGGCTGGGCAACTCACCAGCACAACCTCATGCTGGGGAAAGAAACATCCCAACATGTTCCTCAGGCATGTTAAAATAGATTCCCTCAATGGCTGGAAAGAAACATCAGCACATGGATTGAAATCTAAAAAACCACCAAATATGACTTCTATTGTCGGAAAGAGGCATCAACATATAGAGTAAAGTCTCAATGAGTGGCAAACCAACAAGCAGTCATCATCACAATAATCATGATACAAACCAAGCCACTTTCAAGGTTCTTCGTAATCAATTGTGCCATCAGAATCCCCAAGCAATCAGCTGTTCCATCATGATAAATTCATAAAACAGAATTCCTCAGGTCCACTTGCGCGCTTTCACCAGCCTCCGGAGCCACCGAATCCGTCACCTTTGCACCCCCGTGTGCAAGTGGAGCTTCAGTAATTGTATCTCCACCTGATGTGGCCCGACCTCGGGCAAATGATGGGCCCAATCGATGGGGGAGAACTCCGAGCCCCTGCGGCTCTGGCCCCTCGACATTCCGCCGCCTTGGGCCCCCTCAAGCTCCCGGCACTGCCCTCGCTCGAAGCGCCCGCCATAACCACGTCTTGGGAGGCTCGTGCAGAACTCTGCGCCATGTTGCAAGCTGCCTTGGCTGGCCACACGTTGTGCAATCGTTCGCCAAAGTCCACGCCTCACCGAAACACAAATGTTGAGCCAGCGCTGACCCACCGACCCACATTTGCCGCTGCCACAAAACGCTTGCAAAGGGCTCCCCGCTGCTCGCAGAAGTCTCGCCGCCCGTTCGCCACCGTCGCGCACCACTGGAGCGTCGCTTGCAAGCCGCCGATGTGGTCAAAATCTGGGATTCTCACTTGCGCCCATTCGCCGAATTGGGCGACGGCCGCCGAGCGACGGGTCAATCACCGTCCAAACAGCCTCGAGCTGTCCTAACGACGTTGCTGTGCTGTCCCCCGCTGTCTCGCACACCTCGATCGCGCTTCGCCAGCCGTTGATCTCGCTCAATTGCAAAATCTGCAACTCCACCCGTCCGACCCCCTGGCCGATTGTTGACTGAATTCCAAGTCGATCAGCGTGCAAACTGCCCCAAGCAACTCTTGGGGACTTGCCTGCACTTTGTCCACCGTCGTCTTGCCCCAAAACCAACCTCGGCTCCGAAACCATCTTGAAGGAAAAGCCGTTGATGCGATTCAAACGGCTCCCTTTGGAGTGCACACGGGAAGCGCGAATCCACGATCGCCGATGCTTCAACGGCCTTGGCACACGGCCAGACGCAAGGCCACACCACACACAAAACGCCCAGGGCTTACATATTTGTTCACCCTTCCCACAACGAAGAGCCTTGCCGACGGCGGCAACGACCCCCGCAACCGAACAGTTCGAATTTTTTTGCACCCACAGAACTTTCCTTTTCATGTGACAAGGACCATCATCCATCACCAACCAGCCATACGACATTTCAAAGATACCCACTCATCGCCACAATGCAACCCACTCTATAACACATATACTAAAGGTGCCCATACACTCAATGGCAATGTAGTAATATTTCAGCTGCGAGCGCGACCTCAACATAACACTTGTCTCTAAATCGGATGGCATCTCCCACAACAACCAAGTTGATGCTCACAAAAGTCCCATCACATGAGAAACAATTCTGTGAATTCTGAAACACATTTTTCTTTTCTTTTTCTACATTCAGAATGCCTTGCATAGAAACCATATTCTTGACGTGCATACAAGTCGCACACCATAATGCATAAGTGATCCACCCAGTGAAACGGTGGTCATTATGCGGTGTTGCGAACAAGGTCCAATAGAAAAGTGTGAAAAGCTGTGAAAAGTGTGAAAGCCGTCGATCGCAACCTCCTTTGCTAAACTAGCAGGCGTCGAAGGATGTTGGTGGCTTGGGCGATGGCTCAAAACACTCCTTGGGGCGCGCACGAGTACACTCGTCACCACTCCATGGCTGAGTCCAACAGCGTCAACGAGGGGCCTCATTTGGCAGCCTTTGCACAATTTTGAAATTCTCGGACCTTCTGTGTCGGTGTGATTCTGCAAATTTCCTTGCCAGCCGTGGCACCAAACTAAGACAGTTTTCTTCGGCCACACCGTCCGTCGGACAATATGCGTCCCTGGGGTCCTCATCGACCACAAACACCCAATGTAGGCGGCCCATGTGGGCAGTATGGATGCATACAACAGTGGTACAATAATGGTAGCAGTAGTAGTAGTGGTACAACAGGAACGGCAAAAGTAATAGTTGTGTTGCAACAGTGGTATAGTAGTGTGCATACAACGGTTCGGTCACGTCCCGCCTCACCACTCAAACCTTCCCACTAATGTGACTACTCTCAACGTGTCCACCGGCAGGACCCAACAAGCATCATAAGTAGAAAACACTATTCGGCGATGTCCATTATGGTTCCATTTGACACTACTCGATGCCACCACAGTGACCGCAGTGCCATCAAAGCAGCCATCATGGTATCAATTAGTGTCAAATGGCGTCACAGTTGGCATCGCCGCAGTGGCGTTGTTGTATTTAGAACTGAATGAGTACTATTAACAACTGGACGCACAATGAAGTGATGTGGCATTAGGAATTGCCTTAGGGAAGACACTTATGTCGATTTTGCAGCAATTACATGATCTCGTAGCGTCACAGGTCCGGCCCCCCCCCAACCCTTTTAGTGTCAATTTGACGCTAAGCGTAACGAAATCGACAAAGGAGGGAAGGTGCACCAAAACGCCACTGACAAGTGGCAAACAACCCATGACTGGTTCCTGAACCTGTCACAAATGTTTGATCTGCAAAGATTGAGGCTGCCCGCCTCGCCTATAATGGCATTCAGAATCCCATTTTGAACCCAGGGACGTCAGCAAAACTTCGATTGTTTTCTGTCTTCAAAACCGCCTAGAATTTGCCTGCCAAAGTCACATAATGTTGCTGAGTCATCCTTGCATCGGCATAAGGATTGATGCTAAGGGAAGGGGGGCGGGGTGTCTCTGAGCTTAACGTCAAATTGACGCTAAGGTTGACAAAATTGACATAGCGCCTTCCCTTAAGATGCTGATGAACGGACTGGACATAAGGGACAGACCACTTGTTGTCCCTTTGCTCGGCTATAAATGCCGCCGTGGACTCGAGCCTACGGTCCCGTTCAGGGGTCCCCACCCCTCGACCCTGCCTTCGTCAGTGCTTTCTCCCAGGATGCGCGCCACCGCCCACCACCGTCTCCACGATTCCCATCACGCTCACCCCTGCAAAAAAACCACCGCCCTCACCCCCCGGAATAAGAAAACGTCCGTCGCCCAGCTGTGGTGGCCCACATGCTGCCGCCTGCTCCTCCCTGGTCACAACACGCGCGCCCCTGCGCCAGTCGGCCGCCGCTCCCCTGCGCCCCGCGGGCCTCCGGACACCGCCGCCCCGTGATGCGTTCCGGCGGCTGAATCGCCCAATCCACAAACCACCGCATCCGCCATTCGACGGCCTGCGCCGATTGAGCCACCGTGCGCCGCAAGCTGTGATGATGGGCGCATTTCCTGACGCGCGTTTCTGCACAAGCGGCACAACTGGATTCAGGATTCGAATCAGGACTCCCTGTGCGATGGCGGGTACAATCGGCGAGGCGCATGGCTCCGTGGCCCCTTGCCAGGCTTCATGCTCTGGGAGAGAAGGAAGCCGATGGCAATTGCCGACGCCGCCCCTTTGTTCGCATGCGCGACTGAGGCGAGCATCAGCGCCCAAGGGAGCGCGCCGCTTCGCATTGGCGCAGCCCGGGCCTGTCATCGCATCCCCGCGGACAGCTTTTTGGCGGCGCGGCGGCGTGGGATCGTGGTTCGGGCGGGTGATCGTTGCGCCGCCGATGGGGCCTGGGGGGATCGGCGCGCTGGCGATCGGGGAGGAGTCAATTGCGCCGATGGCGGAGGAGATGGAGGCGGTCGGGGAGGGGGAGGGGAAGGGGGCCGCGGAGGTGGTGGCGCCGACGAGGCTGCAGGTGCGGCTGATGTGGAATCATGGGCAACTGGGAACCATGCTTCCTATTTTGTATTTTGGACACAAAATGTTTCCGTGCAGAAAGCGCCCAGACCGAGTGCCTCCGGACGGGCACTGTGCTTGGCCATTGCGTGGGTCAGGTGCAAGGGTTGTGGTCTGTCAGTCAGTGGGGAAGGCTTTGGAATCATGCACAATTGGGAGTCAGGCTTCCATAAAAATCCCTCTGTACAAAATGCGTCCAGACAGAATACTTCCGGACGGACACTGTGCTTGGCAAGTGCGCGGGTCGTTGCGTGTCAGGTGCAAGGGCTACGGTTGGTCAATCAGTGAGGGAGGGGAGTGTGAGAAGTGTGGTTGAAGGAATGGTGATGCGTGCAGGTGCAGGGAATGTTTTTGCTTGGTGTTTGGTCTGAGGATCAGCTGGCAGGGTGCAAGGACTGTGGCTTGTCATTCAGTGAGGAGGACAAGTCTGTGGGTGGCAAATGGAATCAAAGGAGTGTGGATGCATGCAGGCACAATGGATGTTTCTGGAGCAGGAGATGGCGAGGCAGCAGATGCAAGCGGTGATGGGCCTGGCAAGCGAGGCACGACGGGGCGCAGTTGAGCTGCTGAAGATGTGGAGCGGCATGGATGAGGCCATTGGCCGCCGGCTATGTGACCCATCGGTGAGTTGCAGGGGAACACGAGATCGCATTTGTGAGGACAGCACCACCCATGCGTGTCCCTGCCATTAACTAAACAGCCAGTGAAGGCGTCCAGTGTTGTTCAGAGTGGCAACTTGAGAAGAATCGAGGGGGGTTTCCGGGACACCTGTTGTGTGTGGATTGTCGTTTTCTGGGGCTCTGTCTTGTTGCTGCAAAGTGATGCGTGCTCTCCTGATGCCCTGAGAGGGTTCTGTATCATCTTTTCCAGACCATACAAGTGTAGCCCACGAACATTATTGGTCAGAATGGCTGTGCCCAAGCATAAGGCGTCTCCCAGTAACATTCCTATTCCATTAAATACCCAACGTCTGCCCATCATGCATATCATGCGTCTTTGCTTTCAAGGTGCAAGGACACTATTCTGCAGTGTGAGCACAAATGCAGTCCACAGATCTCATGCCTGACCTTCCGCCTTGCCTGACATCGGTGCATTGATTTTAAGGGCTATATCTATGGCATATCAGGCCCTTAGGTCCTTCCAAGGTCGTTAGGTAATAGTAGGTCGTTAGGTCACATTAGATCATAAGGTCACATAAGGTCACTTTTCAAAACAACCTCAAGGGCACAGCTCCGTAAAGGTAGTTTTCAGCCACCTTATGGCCAAGAGACGGGTGCAGGGTGCGATTGAACTCATGGCATCCTGTCCAAATAGTAGTGCTGCTGGCGTGCGTTTCTGTTGCCAGAGTATTGTCGTGCACAACCGATTGTTTTTTATTTTTGATTTGGTTAGAAGAACCCGTGGGTTGCCAAAAGATCTGCTTCTTGGATCCAAAGAAAATCATCACGAAAATGCAATGAAGCTCAACTCCTCGGCAACTTTTGACGGACCCCAGATGTAGCAAAGTGGTTTTACGATCTCAGCGGCTTCCGTCTGACCCAAGATGTACCAAAGCACACAACCTCAGGAGCCTGACTGACCACCCTGGTTTGGCGGTCACCACCAGCTGATGGCCCGCGCCCAGGTCATGCAGAGCACACCCAAGGCCACCCCACGGCCTGCCCTGTCGCTGGACTGGGAAGACATGGCACAGAGGAGTGCCGTGCAGGTGGTGACCTCTGGGCGCCAGGCACGCAAGGCGAAAAAGAGTGACCAGAAGGTTTTGAGGGCTGCTGCAAGGAGCGATGGATATAGAGATGGCAGCAGTCTCACAAGGCTGTTCAAGGTGAGGGAAAAGAGGGGGAGGAAGTGTCTGGTGAGTTGTTGAACTTGAATGTCCTGCCTAGCTGCTCTGGGTATGACTGTTGCTCGTATTCAGCCTCTCCCACCTGTCGATCGAATCACCCTGCATTGTTGTTGGAGGAATGCCTGTCTTTGCCTTGCGGGGGCAGGGGCGCGATTCGATCTTGTATGCCAGCACATAACAAAAGGATTTCCTCACACACAAAAATACAATATAAAATGCACATTGCATGCGCAACCTTGCTTGCTCGAGTGGTGCATATGCACACACCTTTGCTGTCGTGTGTGCCAAATTGGAAGTTTTCTACAGCCGTTGCTAATCACCAGAATCGCATCGACCTTACTGAAAAGAATGCCAGACCCCCAATTGTCGACCCGTCGATCCCTCAAGATAGCACAACAGCCCCGTTTAGGGTAGCATTCGCATGTACTTTGCACTGTGATGGCCAAGTTGCTAATCTGTGGTAACTTGGCAAGAAATTGGCACCTTAAAACCCACCCAACCCCCACCCACCCATCCACCGATCACCATCACTTTCTTCCGAGCGAGTGCCAAAGGTGCACTCTAAGGCGCACACCCAAAGGAGGCCTAGACACCTTGTTAACGTGAAACGTCGCGGCGATCGGGCCATTGGGTCGTTCGCCACAAATTTGACCTTACCCCACCCCCCTTCGTCAAACCCCAACCCCACTCGCTTCCAATCAGCCGGCAAGGAGGCACTCCACAACGCTACAGTGAGGGCACCAAGCATCTTGGAAGTGAGAGGTCACGGCGATCGGCCTGTTGGGCCAATCGCCGCTGACTCAATTTTTCAAATTGGGCGCCCCCCCCTCTCTGCCCCCTGTGCCCCAACGCCGTTCGTTTCCAGTCCACAGCCAGGGAGATGCCACGAGGCGCTCCAAGGGGGCCACCCAGCTGCCTGAGTTGAAAGACCGCGGCGTTCGACCGGTCGGGCTGATCGCCAGGAACAGAATTTTCAAATTTGAGCGTGGCCCAAGCCCTTCCATCCCACCCCACTCCCCCTCCTCAACGCGACTCAAGCCAAGGCTGTAGGCGATGGCAATCGCCACCGCCGGCCGCGCGCCGCAACGCAGCCAAGTTCACACTGCCCGCCGCACCACCCCCCCTGCCAGTTTGTGGTCAAAGGCATGCACACCGCCTGTCCCGGAGCCCCTGCCCTCGTTGTAACGCTGCTGCCATAACGAACTCGTGCGCAGCACAAAAAAGTGACCATGCACGCATGTTTTGCGACGCATGCACCAGCCGCGTTCAAAGCATCTTTATCTGTGGGTGCTATTGTCCCGGCAGTGCTATTCGGGTATCCAAATGGCACCCACATCAAAAAAACATCATTAAATATGCTCTCAGCCCCCCTCCCCCCCGGGGGGCACGGGCATTAGTCATGTGCCAGGGAACCCTGCCATGCGCTGCACACCGGCTTAGGTAGCGCGGGGGAAGACAGAGGGTAGCCGGCCGGCGTCCACGCTGCACGCCGCGCGAGGCCCAAGGAGCCCAAAGACGGGTGGCGGGGGCTAGCGCCCATGCCGGGCGCCGCCCGCGCCGCGCGAGGCGCAAGGAAGCCCGGGGATGGGCGGTGAGTGGCCGGCCGGCGCCCGCGCGGCTGTGCGAGGTGCAAGGAAGTCCGGGGATGGGCGGCGTGGGCGCGGCCGGCGGTCGGCCAAAACCGCATTTTCGCTCTGCGAAGCTCCGCTCGCTTCGCTCGCTTGCAACAATATACATCATTGTGCACACTATTATGGTTACATAAGGAACAATGCTGCCAGCATTTCAGCAGTGCAGCATATTGTACCACTGAGGAGTGATAACAGAAAGCACTGTTCTTGTTTGTTGATGAACATATTTGTCTGAGGCTCATTTGGCGTGTTCAGCATATTGGGAGGCAGAGACTGCTGTCGGCAGTGGAAGAGAAGGAGTTGGCAGAGAAGGTGCAGGCTTGCCAAAGCATTTTGGAGTTGCGACAGGAGCTCACTGACAAGCTGGAAAGGGACCCAAGCAGACAGGAGTTAGCAGATGCCTGTGGTAGAACTGAGGAGTGAGTGCCCAAGGGTCCAGTGGGAGGGATGAAGACATGCCGCACACAAATGATGCCACCCATCCAAACAAGGAAAACGAATTGTGGTTTCAAGTTGTTGTTGTCATTTCTTATTCCAAGCGAGCATTAAATAACATCTATCCCAACATAGTTCATCGATGTGGATGATGCGGATGATGCCCGCGTCCCCAATGGAAGAGATGCAGATGGTCAGCAACTGAACTCCTAAATTCTGGGGAATGTAAACATGGACAATGAAGGGAAGAGAGTGTGTTGCTTGTGACTTGCCTAACATTTGGCTGATGAATGTTTACCAGAACAGTGTGTCAGCTGTCACTGTTTCGTTTTAGAAATGTAGTGACATTTCTGCTGCTGTTGTTATTGCTGATCAGATAGAATGGAGCATTTGCACCTGGGTGTGCTGTGTCTGTCCTGTCCTAGGAAATAGGTCGACAGCCTTGAAACCATCCAACCCGATTGGCCAAAGTTGTCAGTAACTTCCACCTGGACCAATTGCGAGAGCCAGTGCCAAGTACTGTGAGAGTCCCCGGGCCCTGACAGAACAATACATTTGAGTAGGAGTGGAATTTTGGCACAACAGATGTATTTGTGGCCCATTTCGAAGCTATTGGGCCCATTCCTTGCATTGAATCCTTGTATTGCATGCTTCAAAACATGGCGACACATAGCCCTTGCACCTGAATGGCGATGTTGGGTACACTAATAATGATTGCTAAAAGGGCAGAATAACTGACAATAACGAAAAATAGATGTCAACACAATAACAATGCATGCCCTGCACGTGGACTGTTCATAGTGTATATCTTGGTTAATTTCCCCTGCACTGCTTTGAAGCAGAATGACATGAACTGCATGCCACCAAAGAAGAGCGCCGACTGTGTCTCTGCAGGCAACGTGGAAATCCAACATCAGGTCCTGCCATCTGAGTTGCCAAGCATCCGATCTGGTTTTGGGGTTATTGTTGCACATTGCTTAAATGTTGCTTCTTTACTCAATTACCCATTAACTAGCAGATCATTCTAATTGCCTTGTGTACAACCATCCATAAAAGAAGAACTGAAAACACCATTGAGTCAAGTCCTTGTGCCCAATTTTGACAAGAGCATGTGCTGAATGCTACTGCAGGGTTCATTGCCTTTGTTCACCTGACAGCTTGCCTTCTTGTAGCGCATGCAGTGCCGCCAATCGCGGTGACGTTAGAGGACAGCATAGACAAGGGTGTTGCAGACCTTTGCTGGTGTGAGGCGTGATACTGTGGATGGATGATGTTCGTTTGCTTCCTTTCTCAATCCAAGCATTAGATGATGAGGAGAAAGATGCTGAATTCATTTCCTATTTCGCAATATGTGATTTGCTGAACGACTGACTTGAATGTACAGGGAACTGGAGATCGTCATGAAGGAAGGTGAAGCTGCAAAGGAGAAGATGCTGAGGTGCAACATGCGGCTCGTGGTGTCCATCGCACGGCGCTACACTAACCAGGCCATTGGTTTAGATGACCTCGTGGCTGAGGGGACCTTTGGCCTGATTCGGGGCATCGAAAAATTCGACCCCTCCAAGGGTTTTAAGTTTTCAACGTATGCTCACTGGTGGATACGGCAGTCAGTGGTGCGAGCAACGACGGAGCAAGCCAGGGTGGTCAAGTACGTTCATTGGTGACAGAAAACCAAGTGAATCAGAATAAGTCAAAAGTGCAAAACCGAATTCAATGAAATGAGCCATTGAACCTGTCAGTCCATCAGGAGCGTGAGTGTATTGTAGTTAAGTACAAGAAGTCTCATACAAGAAGTGTATGAGTTCATCAATGCTCTTCCCCCTAAGGTGAGGTCGTGTGGTGCTGTGGTTGACAACACAGCAAGCAAGTGTGATGACCTGCTTTCACTGGTTTCCCAAGTCTTGGCCAGGCATGAGCCCCATCAGCAAACTATGGAAAAGCCTGAAGTTCTGCAAGGAGAGTACTGCATAAGAATTGTAATTCAAGTATAATGCAGACTGTTGTCCTTTGGCAAATTACATGCAAGCAGGGCTAAAGGCCCCCTGTTCCTCACACAAGATGGGAGCAGACTGTTGTATAATATGAACAAGTATAATAGAGTGTCTTTGAGCTAAAGTATGATGCTGCCTGACAGATACAAAGTGCAGCATGTATTTCATTCGAAAGAAGACAGGCCAGACAAAGGGTAAATCCTTCTAAGGGAAGTTGTGTTGGGCTCTTTACCTTGCTGTGACAACGAGTTAATGTCCCCTTCAGATGCGAAGATGCACTAGGGTCAAGAGTGTTGCAGCAACCTGCGGTGGCATACCCACTGTTCCTCCAACATTGAGAAAATTGTGGGTATATTCAAACAGTGTATTCCATGGCACATCGATAATGCCCCATGTACAGATTTGCACAGTCGACAATATCTATTATCTGGTTACATCGTCAATCCTGTGATTTGCCACAATTGTCAATGCTGAGCCAACGCATAAGATGCATAAGCAATGCAAGTAGCACTCACTGCAGTTAAAATGTTTGCTGGCTGCTGTGTGGATTTGCAGGGTCCCTGTGCACCTGCACGAGCTTGCCTCGAAAGCCAAGAAGAGGGAGCAGGAGGTGTTGCGTGGCGAGGGCTACACGCCATCCACCCAGCAGCTTGCTGAATACCTGAGGGTGCCTGAGAAGCGCCTTGCACGGATGAAGGATGCCCTCAGGATCCCAATATCACTCGATTCTCCCTCCAAGCTGGACAGCGGGTCCACAGTCATCGATTCCATAGAGGTAATTTGCCAGGCAGTGTGGGGTTCTTGCAGAAGTCTGGGAAACTGACGTTGTTGTGATGCTCTGAAGTCAGCAGAGACAGCTCCCTTGATCAGTGAGCTTTTTGGTGTTGCTGTGATGGATACTTTCACTCAACTACTCAAAGGTGGGTGCTTGCTGATCATGATTTGTCCTTGCTGGTGAGACTTCTGCATCCTTCATAGCGTGGAATCGAGAGTTACTTGATGTCTTGTTAAGATGGGTGGTGGGAGGGGTGTCGGCCATTGTACGCCATTTGTCACTATTTGGATGACAGGGAATCGGCTGCTCATGTGGGTTTGGGCTTGCGCAGGCTGCAAGTAGCACAGATCCAGAGGATGTCGTGGCAATGCAGTCCCTGAAGAGCGACCTTGACAGCATCTTGGAAAGCCTGTCCCCCCGGGAGCGTGGCATACTGCGCCTGAGGTACGGCCTTGACGATGGCACGGAGAAGACGCTGGAAGAAGTGGGCAGGCATTTCCAGGTGACTGATTGGCTGATTGTATCTGCCAGGCCCTGGTGTGCATTGCTGTGGCACCTTTACTACTGCAAAATTAAGGAGTTGGCTGTGGCTGTGCACTTTGTTGTTTGCAGTACAAGGCACTTCATAGTAAACATCATGGACTTGTGATCTTGTGGAGTTGAAAAAGCATCTTTGAATCTCTCTGCGCTCGTCACTGCCTCACTATCCTTGCATCAGGGCATGTGGGGGTTTTCCTCTGTTAGGGCTGTTGCGTATATGCAGCTCATGGTGTTTCGTGTACTGTTGAAGATCGAATTCTGTGCGAGAATCACATCAGACATGGGCACCAAACTGCCTGCTGACAAGCGTTGCAAGTCCTTGAATCAAGTATTCGCATTTTGTCACCACTGGAAGGGGCCGGAACAGCAGCATTTTGGCATTTTCAGCGGTGTGGTGATGAGCGCCTCCGCAACCGTATCACCCACGATGCATCTGTATGGAATGAAAGAACACCTGTGCCTACCACTTGCCAGCAACAGCCTGCTTAGGCACTGTACGCTCGATGCCCCTGTGGCAGGAGCAGGAGTTGTGTGATGTGCTGGCACATGAACAGTGGGGTTGCGTCCAGAAGACTCGCTGTGGTTAGGGCCAGCTGGGCGGTCAACCAGATTCGCAGACACTAAAAACATGTCACTTTTGACTTCTCAACTGTTGACAACTGTCCTGCCCACCATGCTGAAACATGATATCATGTTAAGAATATGTTAGAAATGTAGTCGCGTTGAAACATGATCTTGCAATTATGTATGACTGGGTATTTCTCCAGCGCCTTGGTGTATTTTGTGACGCAATCAATGCCACATGTGCCCAGGAGCTCAGCTGTACAAACGCTCAGAACACTTGCCAACCGCCCGTTTGCGCTTCAGGCGCAGGCCGCGCCAGAGCGTTTTCACTTCCCAAATTGAAACATGAGCTCTGCATTGCAGTTCTCCTCATTTTGCATATTCCATTGTGGCTGTATTTCGAAGTTTTGACTCCTGTTATTTGCCAGCTGCTGGCCACTAGCTGCTAGAAGTTTGACTAGTTAGCATCGTTTCGGATGGCAGGTCACGCGAGAGCGCATTCGGCAGATCGAGGCCAAGGCCATGCGCAAGCTGCGCCACCCCAAGCGCTCCGACGTGCTGCTCGAATACTCCATCACTAAGGAGAAGCGTCTAGAGAGACCGACGTCAGCCATCCTCCGAAGGTCGTAACAGATCTTAGCAGGTCTGTCTTTTGGTCGTTGTCGTCATCCGCCCCCAAAAGGTTCTTTCGATGACGTCATCAATCCTCAGAGGATTCTGTCGATGGCTTCATGGGTCCCAAAGAAGACTCTATTGATGGCGTCATCGATCCTGGGGAGGAAACATGGTATTGAGAGAGAAGCTGAAATCTCCTGGAACGAGCATTTTTCCCAACGCTTTGGAAGTTTTGGAATCGGAAGAAAAGAAAACAAGCGCTTTGGAAGTCTTGATGAAGCTTGGGGGCATTGGCACAACGGCAAAAACCCGTGCCCGTTGTATGATATGTGTTTGGTGCCACGTTGTTGCACTGTGGGTTTGTGGCAGAGCTGTGCCTGTGTTTGACGAGTGGGGCGTGTGACGGAGTCGCAGAGATGGGATTGGAGTGTTCTGAGAGTTGGGACGGCTTTGGCCGTCGAAAGTGACAGTGCGACATCGACGCGTGCGGAGAGAGGCGCGGTGCCGGTCGAGGGTGGGCCTTGAGTGGATGACTGGAGCGGTTTACGAGGCGGAGGCGTGCAGGCGAGGGACTTGTGGAGTTGTCAAATCCATCGCGAGAATTCGAAAAATGTGGCGCGCTTTTCAGATTTTGGTTCCAGAATGTGCGGGTGTTTTATGTGTTGCCAGGGGGCTTTTGGTCCTGTCAACGAGGCCCACTTTGTTTGGGCTTGTCGAGGCGTTGCCAAGCAGGCGCCTTGCATCCATGGGGTGGGTTCGGGCTGCGATCAGCATGTCATCAGGCCCCGCATGACTCAACTGCTAATTGCTGCCCAACGGTGCTGAGCAGCGCCCTTGCCCGAAATGGTGTCTCCCGTGCGTTTGATCATTTTTGACCAACAGGGCTAGGTTAGATGTAGGGTAGGTTTCGTTTAGGTGGCGGAAGTGGGTGTTGTCTCCAATGATCAATGGTGTACGGGTCGATGTGTTTGTTCAGCAAATTTTGCGTGAGGTGTGGCCACGGTCAGTGCGTTTAGCAACGCGCTGTGCTGTTGTGTTGCCGCTTGTGTCGGCAGGACGCAGGGCAATGCAATACAGCACATTTCATCTCAATACAATGTACAGCACATCACGATGAAGTACGATGCGATGCAACTTGATGTGATTCAACGTGAAATGGAGAACGTATGGTAGATCAGTACGTATACATACGACACGGAATACAGATCTATATTCCAGAACCCAAAAATCCCTCTTAAACTAGGGACTGCTGTAGACAGTAGTTCCTAGTTGAAGAGGGACTTTCTGTGTTGCAATAACATGAAGTGTCTTCAAGACAACCATTTAAGATGAAGTAGACCAGTCACTTCGACCACGGCTAAAACTATGACTCAACAACACTGCGGTCAACAACACTGTGGATAGAGCGAACCGCCTCGGGAACACAGCTGCCAAAAAGTAGCGAGTGATGCCAGTGGTGTGCAGCACCGCGCTGCAGCGGCAAAAGTTTCAGTCATGGTCAACAGCACTAGGGATTCCGTTACCCCAATTGTCGACATTTTCGTGAAAAAGATCTCGGCTGATGAATGTGACCTGGCCGGAATGGGTTGGCGTCATAACTCACGCTGGTGCCATGATGGCGTCCAGTCAGCAGTTCAGCACCTGTACGGCAGCTGCCTTCGCTCAAACCGCGGTCTTTGGTTGTTGCGCCACACGCCTCCATTCCAAACTAACAAAAGGACCACAACTTCCGCAAGAAAATGCCACTTCCTTTTCAATTCAGATTTCAATTTCAGTTTAGATTTGCACAGTGCTTTCTTCCCCCAAACGCAGCAACAGCGTCAATGTATTGACTCCATTCGCAGCGTTAGCGTGCACATTAGTACACTGCCCTGATGGTAATGTGCACATCGATAAACTGCCCTGACAGTCCCCATTGCGGGCTCCGCGCGCATTCGCGCCGATCTGCCCTTGCTGCGCAGAAAGAGGCCAGGCGCTGCGCAACCGGCTGTGAGTGTCCGGGCCATGGCCCGCCCAAAGGCCCGCCAGCCCGTGTGTCACACGGCGACCTGCGCGGTGGTCGTCTGCTTCATCGTCGGAGCCATGTGGTGCGCCCACCCGCATGCGATCTTCTTCGCCTTTGCCGACTGCGCCCCAAAATGAAAGTCGTGCTGTCGCTGATGCCGTCCGCTGTTGCTTATCAGATCCCCGGTGGGTGGATAAGGGGTGAGGTACATATCTCCTGGCATGTCCAAATCGTGTTGTTGTGCAAAGTTTGTTTGTGTGTTTGCCTGATTTGATCACTGGGGCGGGGGAGGGGAGGGGGGGGGTGCATATCTCCCTGGGCGCCCCAAAACGAGTTTTTGTCAAAAATGAGTTTTTAGTTTTCTTCTGCCGCTGTGGCTGATCGGATGGCGGGGGATTGCGACGCGCCCCTGCCGCCTGGAAACGTCGTCCTCCCGTGAGCGGGAAAAGATGTTGTCGCTGCTGCCGCCGGTGTTGCTGATCAGATCACGGGAGATTGCACTGATCGCCGCGAGCCCGAAACTTGCTGCCGCCGCTGCCGCTGTTGTTGCTCATCAGCTCGTGGGGAGGCGGTGGCGGCAAATTCAAGAGGGGTGCTTGCCCCGGCCCATGGCACGACTGTTGCTGATCAGATATTGGCGGTCAAAATCCGACTGCCGCTGATCAGATCCTTATCAGATGGGGGAGATTGTGTTGCACCCCGCGCGCCGAAACTTGCTGCCGCCCTTCCCGTCATCGTTTCTCACCAGGGGTCGCGAGGAGGGAAAGTGGGGAGGTGAAGGGGGGTTCAAGACTGGCTACCAATCAAAGAAAACATTTCATACAATGGGCACCCCTTTCCGAAGCAAATGAATGCGAGGCTCCTTCCATGCTGTCAAGTGATGATATAGAGCCTCCCTAGCGGGAAGAATCACACAAAAAATGCACCATGAAGGACAAAAAAATTGCCAGAGGGGGCCAATATGACCAGCAGTGAATGTTCAGCGCAACAAATCCAATGTCCAGATCTACTCAAGGCCCCTTCAAGGCCCCATGTCCAGATCTACTCAAAGTACAGGTAGGGCCACAACACCGCACTGGAGTATGATAGCACTCTGTTGATTCGCCTGGGCTCCATTGGTCTGAGCCCGATGGGGTCCACTGGACTCCTACCCCCGTTTTATTGGAACAGGAGGCGGGGGGGAGGGGGCCACGTGCCTTTGTTGTTGCCATGTCATTGAAGGAATCTTGACTGATTAGTTGATCGATTGCTATGGGGATCTCGGGCACCAGGTCTGGTGCAGGGGTTGCAATCGTTGTTGTTCCCTGCAAGCCAAATCTTATGGCAACTATGACCCCATCCTTATGACACCTATTGACGAGATCCAACACCTATCACCTAATCCCTATGGCAACTATTGAGAATGGGAAGAAACTGGAAATGCATGGGCTGATGGCCACACTGCATCAGTTTTGTCTCAATTTCCACTCATACATTTCGGGTTCCTCCTTTCAGAAAAGGCTAATTTGGGATCATCGAAGGATTCTGCATTGCTTGCCTCAGTTTCCCACTTTCAACAAGTGACTTTGCAAATACAGTAGCGCCTGGCAGTGCGTGACAATGCAGATGCAGGGCTGGTGCTTGTCTAAGAGCAAGACTTGCTCTGCAGTATGCATTTTAAATGACGACCATTTCTCTCCAGCTGCTGCTCACTTCTCCCGGTCTTGTCATATGAAGCCATGTCTTGTCTTGTGTTGTCTTGTGAAGTCTTGTATTGTCTTGTGCTTTGCTTTCGTATCTCCAATTTCTCCTCAATATGATTGACTTCTCATGAGCTGTTCAGTTTTCCTCTGTTCTATCCTTTCGGGGGGGCCTCTGTGTGCTGATTGGGGAAGCATTCAAATTACCACCTCTTCAGGGCAGCAATGCTCCTGTGCCTTGGCCTCCTGGCCCTTGCTGTTGGGGATGTTTGCCTACTACAAGGCAGCAAGCCATTCACCCGATCGTACCATTCTTTCAGCTGGCGGCAATTACCATCCACGTTTTCACCCAGTCTTCCATTTTCTCAGTTGCAATTGTGCACTTGCTTGCAAGTCCTCAATATTGCACACCAACAGAGCAAGCAAATGTCCCTGCAACGGGCACGGCCTTGTGGTTATTTGGGCGACCCTTTTCCTCCTGAAGACATTGTTCCTGCTGTTACAGCAGGAAATGGAAAATGGACAAGGAATCCTACACAGGGAATGGGTTTGAACAACTATTGTGAACTAATTTTTGGATGGAATGCCGGCAGTCTTTGTCAGTTCATCCCTAATTCATGTTGACCCAGTATATTGACTTGATCAATTGTTGCCGTGTGACCAGATTCGCGATTGATTGACTGACCTTCTGCCATGTGCCAGGCTGCAGCGGGAGAGAAAACCGGCAGCAGCAATGGGGATTGTGGCGCGGGCTTGGAGCAAGGCAAATACCCCTCACAAGGTGCTTGTTCCATCACAGAAATGGTTGTTGACTATTCCTTCATTCTGTTCACTCCCTTCTGCCAGCAGTCAGGCATCACTATTTAGGTGCAACGTCTGCGGTTGCCTTGTTGTCTTGCTGTCGGCACAATATGAATAGCAACATCTAGCGTGCGACTTGCACAGAGTCAGTACCATGTTGCTAAATTACTGTCAATCACACCTGGCAAGCAGGCAAGCCGCCTCATTCGAGTTAGGGGCGTACAATTGACCATAAATATGGCAAAGACAGGGCAACAGACGCTGCAGCACCCCTGTCCCTGCCATTCCCAACAAAATGGGACATGCTAATGGGACTGTGAGCAGAATTTTCTGTTACACCAACACAGCAAGATTGTGGAATAATAGTTAGTCTTTTGGAAATTCAAAATAGTATACAACATTTTGAAATAAAAATATTTCGCTCTGGAATACATCTATATCCCCGTCATTGTTGTCTTGCAAATACTTTCTTGAGAAGATAGCACAGGGGGTACTACTTTATTTTGCTTGTTACACAAGGCCTTCTAGCCACACAGGCTGCGCGCACGCAGTCCTCGGATTAATCAGCCTGCCGCATGGTGACTTGGCAGTTTGGGAACCAATAAGTCGGTGTGGTGCGCATTGTGCTTGTTGCACCACTTTCGTGCAAGCATTGCACCTGCAGCATTGGCAAGAGCACTGGCTGGCGATGTTTCTGCCCATGCAGTCGAATGGATTGGCTCCCAGTCGCTGAGCGAACGATTTCGGAAACTGGATATGACCGATGGGCTGCGGCCATTGCCACAGATGGACTTTGGGACTCGCGACCAGCTGCCGGTTGATGTGGCCAAGCCAACGTGGGATTCCCAGGAGGCGCAGGGTCCCTCCAGCGATCGCGAGCATCACCTGCATGCTGAGCCAGACAGAAACTGCACGGTGCCGGTGCAACACGGGGTGCAGGGAGGTACGGAGTGGGTGGATGTGTGGAAAAACCAAGGCAACCGATCTGTTGAGGACACGCGGAAACCATGCGCAGGTCACTGCACGTGCTTCTACTAGATTCGCATCGTTGGGCAGCATCAATGTTTCGAGGGGTGGACGACAAGGTAACAGAGGAATGCGTGCCGGTTGTTAGCTCGGCCATGCGGTAGAAAATCATAAATTACAGGCAGTAATGCAGAAAATGATTAATTTCCATTTGCTGCTGTCGTGCAATAAACGCTGGTTGAAAATGCCGTGTGTGGCATTTTCTGGCGCGTTTAAAGCTGCGCCCCGTCGATGCTGGTTTTCATCGAACTTGGCCAGAATACTTATGGGAGTGTATGCTGTTAGCCTATACTTGAAACGCACGTGGACGCGCACGCACGCTGCATATGTATAAGATAATGAATAAAAGCGTAATGAATACATACATTGGGGAGAGGATGGTGCAATCAGGCGATTTTGAAGGTCATGCTCTTGATAGCACTACTGTAGTGGAGATGTGTACTCTGAGTAAGTACTGTCAAGTAGTACTTTGTGTACTTTGTGGCCTACCTTTGTTTCTTCCACTGTTCGAATTCCACCTTGAAGCCCATGTTGCCTGCTTGCAAGGAGCATCAGCACCAGACAGCACTACCAATGAGTACTGCGCTGAATGTACTGAATGAGCTCAAGAACCAATCTGCAAATAGGTCTACAAATGGCGGATTTATCCCCAGTTGTGTGTGTGCGCGTGTGTGTGGCTGCAGGAACGTTGTTCACGTGCGGAGTGAAAGAGTCTCGACTTGGCAGGGATGGGGACAACCGAATCTTGATGCCGGCATTTGAGGTGACCACAGCCGTCATCCTGGCACCCAGTCCGCATGGGTGCGGCAGAGAGCGCTTTGAGAGCACTGTAGCGCTGCGTTGCTTCAGCTGGCCTGATCAGCGGTGCAGCTGGTTGTGCCGCAGTGCCCTCGTGTTCGTGGTTTTTGGGCTGGCGTGGTAAACGATGATGTCTTGCTGTTCCTTCCCTGCTCTCTTTTCTTTGCCTGTGAGAGGTTTTGACGACTGCCATTGCACAGGATCTGCCGGTGGTCTCCGTTGCTGGCTCCGGGCACACCGTGCTGGCCACCGCTGATGGGCGGGTGTACACGCTGGGCCGAAACGACTCCAGGGGTGAGTACCTCTGATTGTAGTTGATCAGTTCATTTGACGTTCAGTGACAAATATGTGCATATATACACACGTACAATGCGCAGATTGGAAATCGACGGATTTAGTCCATTGCTACATCTACATATCCATGTCCCCATATGTCTGCATATCCATATGTCTGTATATGTGTTTCCATATGTTTCAGTTCTGTTGCTGGTGCATGATTGTACCCTGTTGCGTGGATGTATAGGCGGAGGGGGTTATGGCACTCCGCCCATTGCGGACGCCGGGCAACTGGGACGGGGTGGGGGCAATGAACGCGGCTTGGTGGCCGGCCCCTTGGAGGACCGGCGTGTGGTGCAGGTGTGTGTGGTGTTGCCGTCCACTTTTGGGCAAAGCCCTACAAGGTTTGGTGCTTGCTTGCTCCACTATTCCTGAAGATCTGTCGCAGTGCAATGCGATTTGTTTTGGGAAACGACTGGAACAGGAATTTATAAGTGAATCGCCCACGTTCCGCTCTTGGGAAAGTCCATTGTTGTCGTTATATTGCTACTTGATTCCAAAACGCTGCGCCATATTTAGATGTTGATTACGTATCGAAATGGCAACAAATGCTAACTAACATTATGTACTTCCTCTGTCCCAAATTAAATGGGCCCAATGCTTTCAGCGCACTCTTCTCAACACAAGATGACTTGCACCTCCCCTTAAAGCTTACTCACAGTAAGGCACATGAGTACAGAGTATGCTGTCAAAATTTTAGATGAATCAGCTAAGTACAACGTAATTGGCGTCAGTTTTTATCCACTTCACTCAAACCCCCCGAAAACCCCGATAATCCACAACCTCCGGGAAACAAGTGTTTCCCGGTATAGTGGATAGAAGCTGACGCCAATTACGTTGTACTCAGCCGATTCATCTAAATTTCGACAGCGTACTCTATACTTATGTGGCCTACTGTGAGTAGCTTATCAGGGAAAGCGGAAGTATTCTTATGGTGAAAACACAGTGCTTGAAGCAATTGCGTCATTTGATTTGGGACATAGGAAGCAGTACTTAATCTGCAACTGTGTCGAAAACACCGAGACGAGCATTTTTACCCTACCTTTCAATGCAAATTTCCCCATGCTGTGCAGGTGGCGGCTGGGAGGTACCACTCCGTGGCCCTGACAGACGATGGAGATGTCTTCACGTGGGGCCTCAACGACTGGGGCCAGCTGGGAAGGGAAGGCGTCAAGGTCTGCAGGGGAGCGAATTGCTTTGAAGACAGTGTTTGACTAGTTATTCAATCTATTTCTATTCGCTGAAACCTATCCCGTTTAGCGAATTTATTATTGCAAGAATGAAATAATTTAGTCGTTCATAATTTATTTGGACGTTGTTCTTGAATGTGTGCAGAGCATCATTACTTCTACCTTTCACTATTGTGGTGTTGCTATCGTGCACTGTGAACTGCGTATGTCAGCCGCTTCTGGCAGAAGCACATACGCAGGAACTTGGGCCTCCTGACCCACGAAACCCATTGCGAGATCTCGTGACTCATAGTGTTGTGCAGATGACGCCCAGTGGCCGCGCAGCAGCTGTGCATAGTCACAACGTGTACTGGGCGAATGTGATACACATGTAATATATGCACACACGACATGCAACACACATGCGATAAGTACTGGGCACACACCAAGATTTGTGAATTACATCCAGTTCATACTGGGCGAATGCAGCACACATACAACATGTGCTCAGCAAATGCGACGCTGCTTGTGCCGTTAAGTACTGGGTCAGCGGCTGCTGCATGCGGGGTTAAAGCACTGGCTGGGTTGCCCCTTGACTGAGAGGGGTTGAATGCATGTAGAAGAGCTCAAATTCGTAAGTTTCTATATCAAAGTGGTGTGCTGTTATGTGACCTAATTGACTGCAATGTAAATGACTGCAATGCAATGCATTTTAATGTACTGCTGCACGTGCTTTTGGAAAGTTGCTGGCAGGTCGGGATCAGGGGGGATTGCGACGCCGGGATATGGAACCCCACTGTGCTCCCATTGAAGCGCTTGCTCACATGCGATGGATCAACCAATCAATCAGTCCGTTGGCGACTTCGGCATGTATACGCTCACGCACGTGATCATTCATTCAACCAAGCGTCCAATTAGCCGATTAGGAAAACATAATCAAAATGTTATGAATCGGCCACGTCATACATCAGAACAACGCCAGGGGCGAGCAGCTGCGACAGCGAAGGCTGCTGCACAGAGACAAGCACGTCCGTGGAAGAATGGAGCAGCCCAAGCTCACTCACTCATTCAATCGCTCAATCAACCAATCAACCAATCAATCAATCAATCAATCAATCAATCAATCAATCAATCAATCAGTCAATGCATCACAAAAAAAAATCAGCCAACCAATCAATCAGTCAGTCAGCAAAACACTGCGTTAGGTTTGCATACTTTGAATCCGTCTTTCCTTTCCTCGATCCGCCCACACCCTCGTTCTGCCACCCAACCACTCAGTCGGCGAGCAGACCATTCCATCGCCCAATTGACATCGAGAAACTGAACAAAAACCCAAGAAAGAAAATAGTCGGAAAGACAATGAGAAGAATACGAGATCCAAGAAAGTACTGCCAGGAAAACAGTCAACAAGAAAAAGAAAAACATAACGATAACCCAATAATAATAATAATAATGATAATAATGATGATAATAATAATAGTAATGGTAACGGCAACGGCAACGGCAACGGCAACAGTAACAGTAATGACACATAATGACAATCCCGGAAAATAACAACCAAGAAATAACAACCAAGAAAATCACCAATCCGCACGCTACCTGCAGGCCACCGACAACGGCTACGGCGCCAGCTGCACGTGGGGCGCTGGCTGTCGCAGCGGCATGCCTGGACGCGTGTCAGCCGGCCTGGAAGGCGTCCCCATGGCCACAATCGCCGCCGGCAGGTATTGGACGATGGCCGCGTCGATGGATGGGCGCCTGTGGACCTGGGGCCTCGACGGCTGCGCCACGCATGGCGATGTGCCCAGCCAGGAGGAGGCCTACCTGCCCCGGGAGGTCGGGGGCCAACTGGCGGGGGAGAAGGTGGTCGGAATCGACGCAGGTCATTGGAGTCTTCGGGCACTAGCTAAAAACATGTCACAATACACTGTTTTGAAAATCGTGTAAAAATTGTGTTTAGTCGTGTATTTATTGTATAAAAATGGAACGAAACCGTGTAGTAACAATTGAGTGCGTGCACATAAGTTTTCCACGTTCTGATACGGCCGTATATGATTCTTACACGGCTCGAAACTCTGCATTTTGGCCGATTTTTTACTTGTGGGGTCGGTTGACTGAGCTTCCATGCCATGGGCGTCTAAACTTCTGATGTTGTTTAACAATATCAGCAATCCGTCAACGCAGCCATTGTTAATGTTTGCGTTCACTGATTGCTCATATGTGCAGAATGCATTGCAGATGGGCGTGCATGTGCTTGCGTGTGCGCATAGCACAGCGCTCGTTATGTCTATGATCTTTTTCACATCTGCAAGATAATGAATGGCTGCTCAGTGTCGTTGAAAATCAGGCAACAACGTAATTTTCAAGCGCTCGGGATGTGTGATACCCCCGGCCACGTGACATACATGAGATTAAGGAGCCACCTGCACACAGGTGTTAGTCGACAACACATTGCGCATAATACATTTTAGCACAAGTGAATAGCAACGCATGATGACTAACGCCAACACACTCCGCCCAATCCGCGACGGGGGCAGCATTCTTGGCACGCAGGCGAAAATGACCCATGACTGAATATCGCAACGAAAAAGCGGCAAGAAAAGAAGCCCATCAGCCACACGCTCTTGTTCCCATGCCAAAGTCACAATCTTCTCTCCCACTTGCAGGACACGTTCACGGCTGCGTGCGGTTCACGCTCCGGATCTGATGGGAGGGGAGGCGAAATGGGCTGAACAGGAACTTTGTCCCACACCCACTAGGCAAAACAAGTCCGTTGACGTTTTGATACAATGTAGGATATTCTGCTATGATATGATCATAATCTTGATACAAATTTCCGACACTGCATTGTGATGCTATATGCTCTACAAATATACTTAATAGATTCAACACAACATTATCATAAGTATGCATTATAAATATTGTATACATATATTACTTCAACTAACATTTTAGCAACTGGCTAATTTGATCAAATTCTGTTGCTATGTCCCTGCCGAAAGTCTGTTCGCAAGACAACTAAAGCACGTCCATCGGAGGCTGCTCTCGCCAGTGGGCACTGGATGGCATCCAGCACGCCCATCGCATGGAACAATGTATCAGGAGAAAAATGGCGGAATAGTACTAAAATTACCGCGCCTTGTGCCACTTTTACCCCAATCAGCGTTGTGGGCGCCTCTTACATTGTTTGTTGCATCTCCTGGTGCATAAATCGACCGCAGCCATGCAAACTTAAACCATCAAGGGTACGTTGCTGCGCGTCGCATAACAGTAGGAGACCCACAGGCGCGGAACCTGAGCACGATGTTTTAAGAGTTGATCCTCCATACAATCAATCAGCGTGAGCACCAAAACAACACCCGCGGAAAACTCGCTGCGCAACAGGCAAGCAATGCATGCCTGGCTGCAGGTTGTTTTCTCGCCAATGTGCTTCCTGCAGGACTACAGTGTTCCGAGGTCTGTTTTGAATTAGGAGTCCTGAGTCCTCATAACGCGTAGATCCTTCTAGGCCATATCCAGGAACACTTGCATAGGATCGCCGGGCTCGATGTGGGCGGCAGCCATCCAAAGTTGGCATGCGCGGTACCAGAACTACGCGTGGTGCGAACGAAAGCACCAGGAAATATCGTTTACCTATGTACTGAAAATAAGTCACCACGTCACTCGCAATAATATATGCAAGCTTGTATAATTGTGAGGTAATGAATCGCGAAGCAGAAGAACAGGCAACTGCCATTCCCAGTGTGGCTGAAAACCAAGCAAAAGAGGAGCAACGCACATCTGGACACCAATAATCCGGGAGTCACTTGTTAACCTTTAAATGAATGACTATATTATTATGATCGGATTGTGCACGAAAGGGCGGCACTATTTACGTAATGCATCACATGAGGTATATAGAATTTAGTACAAAATGTTGTGAGAAATCATGATGTTATTTGAAATGGCGTTCAAATAAGTTTGCAGCCCTGCTCACAGCTCTGCTGGAGGACATAGCTGCTCAACTCAATTTCATGATCTCTTTTCCATAAATGCACCTTCAAATTGACCCTCAACTTGTGTTTTCTCATTCAAGCAAAATAAGAGAGCCATCGTCAATGTGTAATTCAAACAATAACATTACGACACATAGTGAGAGACACCAGGGGATGCTGAAAGGAATGGGCACCACAATGAGAGATACCACGAAGGCTATGTTCAACTGTTGACTTATGTTGTGTATGACCTAGTTCCTTTGCATTACGTTCAGGTTACGTGTTCTGGGCCGTTGTAACTTCATGCGGGGAGGTGTTTACGTGCGACACGCAGGACGACGGCTATGCCAGCACGCTTCCGAGATCGCGTCCAGCCAACGAGGATGGAGAGCTGGGCAGGGAGGGCAATCCAAAGGTCCCAGGAAAGGTGATGCATAGTCAGGAGAATGAGCAAACACAAAATGAAGAGCAAATGGAGCTACCTGTTGTGTTGATACATAAGCATGTATATAAATATTTGTTGTACTATTTGTTGTACTATTTGTTGAAGTATTATATAAGATAGTATAAGATCAGTAGCCGTTGCATCATATCGTACAATACCTGCTGAGGTATAGCATATATTGTATGTTTAATGCAGCAAACAGAAGATTTTTACCAAAATTTATGCATTAAATACGTTAAATTTGTAGAAGGCATCAATTTGAGCGACGTTGACAACGAAGCTCCGACCACGGCACATGTCTCGACGCGCCCACGCTCGCATTGGTACGTCACCATTCGTGTGTGAAGGCATACATGCGTATATGGCTGTGTGTATATATATGTGTATATATGTATGCATGCATGTAGGTAGTCGCACAACTAGATATTCAGCCCGCTGGGCTCATATCATCAGTCAACAGCAGTTTTACCAGCGGTCTACAGAAAGATCGCGATGATGGGCACAATCAAAGGCCAGTGGCTGAATGGTTATTGCGTTGCAAAATATTGCCGCGGAAAAAACGATGTGTTCTTCATGAATCAGCATGATTTTCAAATAGCACCCTGCTGCCCTCGCACCTTCTGCAAGCTGGAAGCGAGTTTATCTAGTACAGACACCCAGAGCAAAGCGTCTTCGGCAAACTTCGGCTTCGGAAATAAAACAGTGATTGCATGGAAATGAACTGTAAATGCGCAATTTTGGCACCTGCAGGTGACAGGTGGCCTCAAGGACCGCACCGTTTTGGATGTCGCGGCTGGTCGCGCCCACGGCTTGGCTGTCACGTCATCGGGAGATCTGTTTTCTTGGGGAAAGCCTGGACCCATTATCGGGCGAGATTCCGGGTCGAGGCGGGAGCCTGATTTAGTCAAAGGAGAACTCGAAGGCAAGAAGATTGTCTCTGCGGCGGCTGGAGAGGTGATTGTTGATTGTGCCCGTCCCGAATTGCAAAGTCATGTTGCATCGTTGCAGGACTGCAGAGAGAATTTTTTTTGTGTTAAGAGCAAGATGTGAGAAGCTCAATTTGTTTGTAACCGTTGGCGTCCTTTCCATCTCAAGACTGATTTCGATCTGATACTGTTGCGAGCTGTGAGAAATCAAATCGCTGTTTGGTTTCCTTCCTGGAGCTTTCCAAGCCGGGAATAGGGGAACCAATGACAAGTGCTTACTAACTATGAAGACTGAATAATGTGGCCAGTGGCCAATATTTCTGTTTTTACCTCAGTTTAGTGTTTTGAAATTTAATTCAATATTTGATGATATAGTTTAATTTTGTATTTCTCACAACTGAATGGAAATAGCACTAATGGAAAAGAGGAGGCAAACTGGAGAACTGAAATCTGCGTATCGATACATTTCTTCGTGGATTGTCTAGCTCTTTTCAACTAGATCGATATAATGATCATGATGAACTGAAAGAAAACGATACGGAAACACGAAAGTGGAATCTACCAGAATTTGCAAATTCTTACCACGCGGACATCGGAGCGAGGGTATTTGTGGCAGTGCAGTACTTCTCTCTCGCGGCCACCGCGGACACCGTCTATGGTTTCGGTCACAACGGCTACGCCACTCTCAGCATGGCGCAGGAGAGCTCGCAGGTGGGGGCTCCGAAGGCAGTCGAGGGTCCTCTGAGCTCCTCGCAGTGGGCGATCCAGCAAGTGCAGGTGGGGCTCTGCCCTGTACAAAGTTGGCCAATTTGCAGAGTACTGGTAAAGTTTGTACAGCAATTAAATCCACGGTTTCAGTAGTAGACAGTAGGCCAAAATTCACGGGCCTGATATGTTCTACCCTGTCTTGCGTGTAAGGATCCTTTGAAAACCGTGCGTTAATCGCGTACGGATTACAAAGTACACGATTGCTAGAAGTGGACCACCTTTCCACCCCGAAGAACATGACGAAGAACACGGTTTACACGATTTCAAACGTTTGCCAAGCAGCAGAAATGTAAAACCGTGATCCAAAATACCCGATTCTTGCACGATTTCTGCGCTCTTTGCACTCGAGTGTACACCGTGCAAATTGGCCAATTTCTCGCTATTGCTTCCCCGGGCTTTCCTTCTCTCCACTCCTCCCACTGCTGGTGTATGCCGCATTTGAATGGGATCAATTAGGTTTAATTGATTAGTGTTAATCAATTAGGATTAATTAATTAGGGTTAACACGTGCGACGCGTAGTGCGTTACATCCAATGTGCGTAGAGTTCTAATGTGCAACGCGTAACGTGTTAAGTAGAGGGTCCTCAAATTCTGCCATTTTTTTTCGTTCCCATTTCCAACGTCGGCGCAGTATGCGCCGCGTGGAACGGCAATTTGATGGATGGTTTAGAACACGTATGTGCGACTCGCCATCGAGACGATGCCAATGCGCCAAGGCGCAAACGTCTCAAGCTCTTTGGCAAAATTGCCAGCGCGAAGTGCTGTATCAGCCTTTGAGGCCAGATTCTGACCATGTCCAGGCCGGGTACCAACATTCACTAGTCATCGCCACCAGGACCGACGGCGGTGCGGATGAGTCATCCTCGCAGGAGGCACCTTCGCCGGACGCTGAGGTTACTGAACAACCCACTATGCCTCCACTTAAATCGAACAGTGATCAAGTAAATCGTCCAACCGCTAGCTCGACCAATGGCACCGAACACGGATCGGCGTCTATTTCGTCGATCCCACCTGTGGGCGTCGGCGACTTTGATGTGCTGAACGACACCAGCTTCAAGAAGCTCTGGGGATCTGCCGAGGATTTCGATGGCATCACGTCCCTTGAACCTGTAGGTCGGGATAATTGGGACGACCAGGTAACAATTCAATTGCTAATTGAAGTAGTTTACTTCAATCTTTCAGAAGACGGGATATTGCGAGCAAGTAAACACACGCAACGGGTTGCTTTGCCACATTGATTCAGCATTTGAAAAAAGAACACGCACAATAAGCTTGCGGTGCTGCTTGTGCTTCCCGAGCGCTGTGCCACTGCCGCGAAGGCATGAAAACAGTCTGCGCGTCGGCGACCTGTGCTTCTGAACGGAAGAGCTCCCCTTTCGAATGTTGAATTTCGGCTTCCAAAAATTGATATCGCGCTTTTGAGCTGATGTTTTTGTGGCTTTGAAAATGTCTGACCTGTACACCAAGATTGTGGCTTCCAGCAACCAAGATTTTGCCTGCTTGAGGCGTTCAGATTGAAGCACTTTCTTGGATGCATTTTCTCACTTTCTGTCGGTAGTATTTGCTTCATTCTTTCTGTGAACGCATAGTCTCCGCAGTGATTTGATTGCCGATGATCTCCAGCTCACCCACCAGCGCCTCAGACGCCCAGCATTCTTTGTGAGTGAAATGACGAAATTTACTCTGGTTTATCACGAATTTGCTCTGCCCCATATCTTCTATTTGCATGTTATAGCTGCAGTTATTTCAGTGCCTCTCATCCTCCTTTTCATTGGATTAAAAACCCTGACGTTGATGAAAACGTTTTGTTCAACTTGAGTTTCCACATTCGAGACGTGCTCACTCATAAGACGGAAACCCCTTCTCCCTTACATTAGGGCTATTGAAATTTCTCCCATGATATTTTCCCATACTTCTAGTTATTCTAATAATAGCGATACTAATTTCAGTAATGCAAGCGCTTCTTAGTGCAGATCGCGGGCCCATACGCAAGCGTCTCAGACACCTGGCAGCGCTTCCAGCCATCTCCAAACCACGGCGCCATTGCAGAATGGTCTCCCGACGTCTTCAACGGGCTCCCTGTTGAGCTGGATCCTGACCTTAAAAACCCATGTTGGCGGGAACAGTCCTCATTGAGATGCCTGCCATTTTTCAACATTTTAGGTAGGAAGGAACACGTAGATGAATGGTCTATCGACACATTTTGCAGCAACGCCTTTTTAAAGGCTGCACAGAGAGCATTCGAGCAGCACTATATGCGCAATGCGAAGAATGGTTATGTGCTATACATATGCACTATGTTTGTTGTGCAAAGTACCACCATGCGTGTCAATTACATAAAACGCATTATCTCAATTATTCAGCGCATTTCCTACGACTGCCTTGGTGTGTTGATCATGAACAGATTTCAGCGGTTTTATTTTTGGGAATAGGATAGCAATATGTAAGCTGATGCACTATTGCCAGCTTCGGTGCAATGTCGTCACCCTGCACGTCGTTGATGCCTTGCTTCAGATGGCAGCTTATCTCCAGCCTCCAGTTTTCACGCATAAATGAACAGTCCTATAAGTGCATGCACGTGCACAACTTGTATGCCTACACATCGGCTCAAACGACAGAGATAACCTAAACCTCTTGATCGAAAAGGTGAAGGATGGTACTTTAATAACTGAATTGCTCACCTCCTGAAAGGATGTTCATGCCGCCGCGTTAATGGATGGCGCTGCGCCGTGGCTCATAGGCGAGGGTGAGCAGCGACCGTTTTTACCAGCGGTACCTTTGTCAAAATGTCTCATTTTACAGACTTTGTAACTGTATTCAATGCTGTGATTACGTGACTGAAATTATGTCTCAAACGCTTATGTGGCTGAAATCGTGTGTTAAATTATGTGTTACGAGCTTGCATGGCCTAAACTATGTATCATAAATGTGTTGTATAAGCATAAAACTGTGTTACCGTAGTCCCGTCCATGATGGACGATGATTCACCGTCCGACGATGGTCCTCCATCACTGCACCTGACGGCGCCCCAGGTGTCTCCAAATGCGGCACGACCGATTTGTACTGGCGCATATTGGGCCACCCCGACGTGAGCGGGGCGTCCAACAAGGGCCCGCACTTCTGGGACGAGTGCCGGTGGCCGCCTGTCGGAAACTGCACCGTGCCACCGGACGGCGCCTTCCAGGGATACGTCCACCTGTTCGACAACGCCGCGAAGGCCATCGAAAATGAGACGTGAGCGCTGCCGAACAATCGATCAATTAATCAGTCAATCTATCATTCTATCCACCAATTAATCAATTAATCAATAAGTCAATCATAAAGTTGATTGGCAAATTGATGACATCCATGGAAGCCACCCTTGCTGTTCGATTGCGCAATTCAACATCCTTTTTTGCATCGGTTCCTGCTCATCAACTGACGAGGACTCTTCTATTGATGTATTATCACAGACAGCCGCTTCTTGGCACTAGGGTTTAATGAATTCATTGATTTTGTTGTGCTTACGTTAAATTTAAATGAAATGATAATGGACACTTCTGTGCTCGAGCAAAATAGGCAGCTGACTGCTAGCTCACTGCCTTGTTCTGTAAAAAAATGGTGATGGTGATGGTGGTGATGATAATGATGGTGACAATATCAGCCAATCAATGAGTCAAAAACTAGTCAACCTTGCATAAAATGGCGCCTCAGCGATGTAGCCAAGGCGCAGTTTTCTCATAGTTCATTTTCGATAATCTCCAGAAGCTTTCGGAGGATGCTGCAATGAATATGAAATTAGTGCAATAATTACTGGAGATCTGCATGAAAGAACTTCATCCCAGGGTGCGCGAGTGTTGCTACATATCACGGCGACAATGCAAGTTTGCTTGAACGGCTGAAGGTGCTGCCGCTCATGATTGTGCCTTGGATCTACAGTGGTGCACAATGTCGTGAATTGATTTGTCGATTGCAGAACGGAGAATGTGATAATGTGTGGTTGGAATGCCATATATGCCGAATGTGTATGTACAAGAGCCACAGAGCGTATAATCCTATCGACCTATTCGTGTGGCAGTACACTATATTCATAATATTGTAATAACACGTATTGGTGCACATGGTATTGAAGCAGTACGAAACTCATAGTCTGCCTGGATGCATATAATCGCCCAGAAAGCTAACGGTGCAGAAATTGGAATTAAAAACAGATGTAGAAAAAACCGCCCTGCGCTGCTAATAGATGGCTGGTGATCACCACACTTTCAAATAAAGAATATAAACAAGGGAAAAGCTTAAATAAATGATAAAATTCGTGAATGCTATCAACCGAAATGCATGCTATTTGATGGTATCCATTAATCGAATTTTAGATTGACTTAATGAAAAGTTAACATTTTTGGAGAAAACAGATGCAAAGCCAGGGCTCTAGCCCAAGGTTGTTAAAGCCCTTTCAATAAGTTGTAAAGCACACCATTTATTGATAGTATGTTGCACCAAATCTTCATGAAAGCCTGTTTCAGTATCGCCATCGCTTCGCCTCAACGCCGTTGAAAAGAAATTCTTTAGTTTAGCGAGCACAACTAAGCACTGGCAGAGGGCCAAAACATGTACCAACATGTAATACCATTAACTCTCCAGAAGTACATTGCACTAACGAAAGGCAATTACTGTAGCAATTTTCACCATTTTTGAGTCGATGATTGCGCTTCATGTGTTTCCTCCATTGTGTGAAGTGTCCATGCCTAATTTGGACTTCCCTAATTAGGAACACCATTACGGGGGAAGCTTCTTCCAACACTTTCACCTCTCCGGGCGTGTACTTTCGCGGCATGCGGCGCGGCCTCAACGTCACCATCGCTGACCTCCTCCACGAAGCGCAGCCCTACCTGCGGCTGATTGTCATTCTGCGGAACCCCGTGGACAGATACTTCAGCGCCGTTAAGTACTATGACAGGTGTTGAACCAGAGAGCTGGTGTCTCGCCCTGAAATGAGTTGCGTCCTCAGATGGATGTATGGCTGAATGCATGCATTTCACCAGTGCTCCAGTCGATTCATCAGATCGTTATCATGATCTGTTATTCATATATCTAATTAATTCATGAATTAATTCATGAATAGACGTTCAACTGTCTTGCATTTTTGCCTGGCAATGGACGAGTGCAGCAAAACTAATGTGTGGCATAAATAATTTGAGCCGTATCTTTATGAAATGTTTGTTACATGCGACACCGTCCACGAAGCTCAGAATAAAATTCGGCTGACTGCCATTCTCGAAAACACCGTGGACAGACTTCCCAGCGCCATTGATTACTGCGCCAGGTGTTGAACCTTGTGACTGGTGTTTTGCCCAGAATGAAGCCGCATCATTGAATATGTACTCCATCAATACTTCGCTTGATCGATCGCATTAATCTGTCTCAAATTCAGCAAAATCGTAAGGAGTTCTCGCCCTTTCGGTGGCCAAATATTTGTGGCGTCAAAAACATTAATAACCAAATGTTTCTTCGTTCGCTCTCGTCAGGCAGGTCAGTTTGCTTCTGTTATGTTATTTCCATTTCCTATATTTCAGGCACTGTTACTGGCATCTCCAATAAAAGGCCGGTAGTTCCGCGTTTCGAGTCGTTTCACATATTCCAGCTCATTTATATTCCAACATACCTGATACTTCATGCATTTCAGCCTCTCTCGCAATTCAGCTGAAGCGTATACAAAAAATAATCATTAGGTCAATCATCCTCGTCACAAATTACATAGCATTGAATAAAAATCATCAGCAAGACTTTCTAATGCAGGTGCAATATGTCTTGATCGATTGTGGCAGGTCGTTCTGGCTGCAAAATTCCTCAACTCGACCCGACGAGCTCGATTCTCGAGCGAGGAAAGACATCCGCGAGTTTCTGTCATGCTTGAAAAGGCAGGGAGAGGTCCAGTGCGTGAGGAGCTACAGCCCGCAGCAGCTCATTAAGGTTGGTCAATTAGCCAGAACAACTGCGCACAAATACCACATGGCTATGGCGAAATATCAATTGCTTGTATTCTAAATATTTCCTGCAGAGAATACGTTTAGTTCTCGATATTATTGCATATATTGGGGATTTCATAGTTCGCCAGCCCTTTGAGAAATTCTGGACGAATTTGTTCTCCGGTTGTGTGTGTCACCTTGCAAACGCGCGCATTGTTATTACGGGAACACATCAGTTCCACAAAACAAGAAAATGTTGTTGAAATTGGCGTTGATTATGAATAGAGCTGATACGCTATAAGAGCAAGCATCTGTACTAAGGCAGGAAATTCGTTATTTGATGTGTTATCACCCATATCGTTTGGACATTGATATGGTCGCAATTGAGACAATAGGCCATTACCCACTGGTATCAAAATGCTTTCGGAGGAAAATTTGGTGAACGGCTTTTAAAACATTTTCTGTGTCCACTTATGCTCGGTAAAAATTCTTCCAATGCGTGGGCAAGAGGCTGACCACCAGTTTTTTTTTTTTTTTTTTTGTGCGTGCGAAATTTCTTTTGATCAATTTCTGGTTGATGGACAGGCATAAGTTCAATCTAACCAAGGTGCATAGGAGGCAAGTCTGCTCAAGCTGCTGGACAACTATGCAATCGAATTGGATAACGCAACATCAATAGTTTGATTCGTAGCTGCATATTCCAATTATGTGGAAATAGCTGCGAAACTGATGCCTTTCGAAAGATATCCGTTTGCCAGAATATCTTAAATAAACCTTAAGAGCTTTCCAAGGACAACAGCACGAATCCAGGTTATCTGATGCGTGTAGCACTATAGGGTACTGAAGCACTATAAAGCGAACATTTAGAAGTGCTGAGAATGTAAATTTCAGAAAAATAAACTTGTCAAATATTAATGGAATAGAACAACCGGACACCGAGGCTGGTGAGGACAGATTGAGTATAGACCACTTGAATATCAAGACATGGTAGCAAATTGCGTGTGGTGTTTTATAATAACGATAGGTATGGGTAATAAGAACTGATCATTTTGTTACTTTTTTAATCGTCTGATCCCGCTGCAGGGCATGTATGTGGAATTCATCGACCATTGGTTGCAGTCATTTCCCAGAGATCAGATGCTCATCTTACGTACAGAAGATTACGAGAAGGATCCGGACCGCCACATGAGGGTAAGTCTTGCATTTATCTGATTTTCAAGCATGTTTGACATTTATTTGATATTTAATGCATTGCATTTGCATGCCATTGATGTGTGACTTTGAGTGTTGACTGGTCGTCTCTTAAAAGGAAAATTGAAGGGGTACATTGCATACATGCTTAGAAGCTCAATTTCAGCGACTGAGCCATAATTTCAACATCTGCGATGAATTATGCTATATCCCATGCAAAGAGCATTGAACAACGCTGCGCATGCAAGAGAGTCGCGCCGCGCTGTTTGCGCCACGTTCAGATTAAAAAGCCGTAATATTACTTTTATTATTTTTCTAGCAGCTTGGCGGCTCAATTGCCAAACTGAGTTCAATATTTCAACACTAAATATTATGAGTGATTATTGCAACCGTTAAAATTGAAATTTCTCAAGAGTCCAGTCCACTAGGCCTTTCCTCAACTGATCTGAGACTGCGTATTACCATCACACTCAATTTTATGCCAACTGCTCTTTCCTTCATCCGCTCACTTTTGTATAGGCTTCGTTTGTTTCCCCGATCTTTTCCATTGTCCATCAAGTTTCGTGCAATAGACAATTCTTGCATAGACAACATTCCATGCGCTGCGCATGCGCTTCTGCATTATTCTAACAGCGCCCGCGGCCGCCCTTCCCGCAGGCAGTTTTCAAGTTCCTCGGCCTTCGGGAACCTTCCGAAAGCGAGTGGAGAAATATCCTTTTCCCCGGGAGGCGCAACGCCGGAGCGCACGACATCGTCATGTGGCCATCCACCAGGAGCCTGCTGAACAAATTCTACGCACCCTTCAACGCAAGGCTGGCGGCCAAACTGAACGACGGGAGATTTCTGTGGGGGGACGCGCGCACTGACTGAAGTATTCATGTGTGTATCCACGAGGCTGCCTCTAAAGGAAGGAAAGAAAAGCTGAAGTCCTTTTCAGAAGAATTGCACAAACGGGAGCTGCAAAGGGACAAAGTGCTAAGTTATGTTCCATACTTCACAAAAAGGGGGCTAGGGGGTACAAATCCGCAACGCTTAGCAGTGAGCAGTTCTGAGAGTGAGTTTCGAGGACTGATACTGTGCTTCCCGTGCAAGCGCCGTGAGT